TTCTGGGCCAGGTTCCTCGACATCCGTCTTCAGTTTGCCCTCCTCCAAGGGCGACTGCTTGTTGAACAGCGGCAGAATGACAATCGGGTAGATGGTCGATCATAAAAACCTGCAGGCCAGCGCCAAACATCCATAGGTAGTAGAAGAACTGGCTACCAGTCTTCTGGATGATCGCAAGGAAGCCGGAGAGAATGGGAGGAGTCAGGACGAAAGCCAGGAGGTTGGTCTTGATCATATCGACAACGAATAGCTTGGGAGTCTGCTTGTTGAAGCCGAATTTCTCTTCCAGAACGAACGTGTTGTAGATGTTAGACGGCAGCGAGAGGACCTGGTTGATGAGGATAAACGACAGAATGAAGACGATCGAGTGCGAGATCTCGCCAGTGAAGCCCTTGGGCGCGAAGCGGAGAAGAAGATCGCCTGTCCATGACCAGAGTTTCGGGAGTACGTCGAAGTGGTAGAATGCGAGATTTTGAAGTTGTCCGTAGAGACCGTTGAAGCCGGTGAACTTTGCCTTGGCGCGGCCGTAGGCCTGGCTCTTGTCGAAGACCTCTTGCGACACCTCGTGTTCCAGCACCTTGGGCGGCTTCGTCTTTTGTAGGATCTTGTATTGCCGGTAGCCAAGGAGCGCCTCAAAGACGTATTGGCCGACGGAGAAGCCGATGATTAGTTTCTTCCACGGGAACAGCGGGCGGTCCAGGAACCGCGCAAGGCGCTATGCGACAAAGGCGGTTAGTTTCACGGCATTCGAAGCAGAACATGGCGGGCGTCGTACCTGAAGAAAATCCATCGTGGTGAGTAGGTCGCGACTATCCGGCCGTCGCGATCCAATTCAACGATGGGTTGACAATTGGGTGTTGATGAAAGAAGGGGCCCGAGTCCTCGGAGGAACAAGCTGTCCTTGCGCGCGGGATGCCTGCGGTCCCAGATCTTATCGAGGGGAAGCTGTCTGATTGGTTAAAATGTCCCTGCGCGTTGCTGTCATCAGAACCCCCACCGGGACAATCCGATGCCCGTTTGGGTTATAGCATCTGTGAAACCGCTTCTTGTCTTTCAAGCGACTACGAAGGCCTCTTGGTATCTCAATCACGACGTGCAAATATCTTCCAGCAATCCCAAACATGCATTCTAAAATCCGACTCAACGTTTAATGTACTATGCGGCCTTGGTGTCCGGACCAATAAAAACCGCGACAGCTTGTTTCCAACCATTATAGGGGAGGATCTCGTGTGAATAGGGAACGCCGGCTGGGCTGAATCCTCGAGCTGTTTTGACGGTGTAATAATTAATTCCTAGGAATCCTCAAGTTCGCCCGCACCCTCTCGAGCAACTGGTCTCTGCTGTCCGACTCTTGGGGATGGAGATTTCGCTGGCCAACTGGTCAGTATCACTCGTGTCAGGAAGCCGGGAAACATACAGCAGCTAGCCATCGGCGAAGCTCTTCTCTGGACCAAGTTTCCGGGTCGCCTTTGGGGTCAGGCTCTTGCGGAAACATGTCGCCTCCCCAGATTGCCCATATGGCAACGCCGGTCACCAAACCGCCGAAGGCTTCAAAAGTCAACACAAAACACCGAGAAGATTTCGCTGACTATCTTACCAAGGACGGCGTTCTAGTAGTATCATTAAGCAAATCTGCGGATTGTCAAGAGTTTAGGATCGAATACTAACCTTGGATCTCATTGCTCGGTCTAATGGTGTCGGCATCTTGATTGCTGCGTGCTAGATTGTGTATGAGCAATGACGAGAACGTCAAGGATTCTAAAACTGAATTTGAGACCGCCCGCCTTATAGGAGGAGAAATACTGTCGACAGCATTATCTGTCAACATCTAGATGGTCACATATCAGACGGCTCAACGTGCTAGTTAGCGCCACAGGCCGCGTCACTCAGCCACACAGCGAAGCTCACCCCTGCCACTCCGCAAACCCATGCAATGCAGCTGTCGGGGTGCCACCCCACTGCCAAACCCACAGAAAATAATTTCGAGAAATCCAATCCCGACCTTGAAACCGAGAACCCTTCGACCAGTACAGGACCTCGACAAAGACCGACAAAATGCCTCAGGAAATCGGCGATATCAAGAAGGTGAGATTTGAAGTGCTGAGCCTTTTCTGCGCAGTTCGGGTGGCGTGCTGACATTTTTGGCGTAGTTCATCGAGATCTGCCGGCGGGGAGACGCCTCCTGTACGTTCCACACGAGATGATTGACGAGCTAGGAGATGGTGCAAGGAGATTCTGACAATGGGTTTTGTTTGCAGCTGCCCGGATCAAGAAGAACAACAAGAGCCAGCAGATCAAGTTCAAGGTCCGCTGCCAGAGGTTCCTCTACACCTTGGTCCTGAAGGACTCGGAGAAGGCCGAGAAGCTCAAGCAGAGCCTGCCGCCCAGTAGGTTTTCCGTGGCGAAAAGGGACGATACGAAGACGGGCATCGGCTGACGGTGGATTTCGCAACAGACCTCCAGATCAAGGACGTCCCCAAGAGGAACAAGCAGAAGGCGACATGAGTTAATGGATCCTGAAGGGGGAATGCTGGTCCGGCACTGAGCGCGGGCACTGGCACGATGGAGGCACATGCATTTGCCGGTTCGGCTTGGACTGAACTCACAAACGGCGTCTCGGAATGGGGAATCTAGGAGGAACTGGTGCTTTGCTTGCTATGATTAGCCTCGAAGGGGCGATGTAGTTGGCGAGGTTGCCAGAAATGAATCGCATTCATCGGCTAAGGCCCAAACTCAGAATCAACGTCCCACTTGCAAGGCCTCAAAGTGGACAAGCAGCTACTCCAGCGGTAACGGCTTATAGTGCTTCAGATCAACCCGCGCGATCAACTCCCGGAGCTCGCCGTACCGGGCAAACCCTTCGGTCTCGGCAAACGCGAAGTGTTGCTCGACGCTATCCCACCCACACACAACCACGAACTCATCCTCCTCCCCCACCCCCTCAACATTCTTCCGCCATCCGGACCGCAACTAGAAGGAGGACGGGGCATACTCCTTCCAGAATCCCCCTCCACTTCCTCAAACTTTGGTCTCAAACCCCCCTCTATCCCCTCTCTTCACAAAACATCCTCCCCACGCTAATCACCGAAACTCTCCAGCAACGACCCCCAACCCACCACCCCCCTTAACCTCCTCAAAAAGCCCCCCCCACCACATGAAACAACACCGTATCCCCCGGCACAATCCCCTCCTCCAACCCGCCCATGACGCGCTAGTTCTCCTCGCTGCGGATCCAGTCCCAGTGCGCGGCCACCGACTCCCACCGCGCCGTGGTCAGCAGCCAGGTCGGGTCCTCCACCTGCCTGAACCAGACCGCGGCGCGCTCGGCGGCGGAGGAGGGGAGGTCCGGGAAGGCGGCTGCGTGCCACTTGTCTTGGTCGCGCATGGCGGAGGCGAGCGCGGCGAGGAATTTCGGGGGGATGGGGGTGGTGGTGGCGGTGGTGGTTTGGTTGGTGTCGTTGGTGGGCTTGGGGATGAGGTGGATGAGGGCGAATTCGGTTACGGGGGGCATTTTGGTGGCTGTTTTGGGGCGTTGGTATTGGTTTTGGTAGAGGTAGGGGATGGGTGTGTTGATATTGCTGCTTTACATGTCCGGGTCTGCGATGTTGTTGTATATCATCTCCTGTGAGGGCATTTGACTCACGGCCGAAGGTGTGCAGGCCGGCGATGTGGCTTATCCCCGGCGAGCTACCTATCTTACCCGGTGCCGTTCTGAAAGAGGTTATTGATGGACATCCACCACCTACCCATCGATACATATCCGGTATGAACAAATGCAGTCAGCTTCACCTAAATCATCCTTTGACCAGGATGATGATTCAGCAACCTTAACCTTGAGGCACGTTACTGCGTTTGTAAAACTGTCTTCGTCTGCTGTATCGGATCTCTGGGCCGTCGTATAATTCAAGCGCAGGGTAGTTGCTTGCAGGTCTTCGGTTTTAAGACGGACCACGGACGCAAACCATTGGACCCGCCGTGCAGCGGGCCACGACTTCCGAAGCGGCATGGCCGTTTTGCCGTGCTTTCTGACTGGCTTATCAGACAGATAGATATGCCAGATTCAGACGCGGTGGTCAAAGCAAAGAAAGATGGCAACAGGATGAGCGGCGTTGAGAAGGCTGAATCCCGTGACCTTTCTTGGGCATTTCGACTCGCCTCGAGCATGGCGACGGGATCACGCGGCCAGTGGAGTTTTGGGAAGCGGAAATTGCTCGCCGCTGACAATCTGGTCCGTGACCACTGGGCAGTTGCGGCAGAACTTCCCTGATGCAAGAAGCAGCTTGTAAAAGCGGGCCCCAGTGGTCCCGGCCTGTATCGGCCCCTTGGCTTTTCGCTCCCAGCTCGCCGGAAATGGGTGATGGCGCCAATCAGGAGCTTCCAAGGTTCCAGAACGCCAAAATGCAACCCCGTGGACAGAACAAGGGGAACTGAGCCGGGAATCCACTTGTAATTGCCCCTGTTCGTCATCAGAGTTGGTGGGCAGTGCCGCAGCGCGTTCCCGGCCACTATTTTTCTCGGAGCTGTGCCCCCAACACCACGTTCTTCGTGTTACCTACCGACGGTGCCGCCGTAGCTAATTCTCAAGTACCTACCTAACCTACCTAATAACAACGGGAGTTTTCGAAATTGCAGCAGGGACAGCGACCTTTGCCATCCGATCTCCGAATTGCTTTCGCTTCCGAACTCCACTCGCCTTAATATTACGTCTCCTGCCTATCTTGGCACATAATATCCTTTTCAGCTTCACTCCTTGCACCACCCCGTTTGTCCGGTTGCTTCTTCGTCCTCCATCCCCGCAACACCACAGTCTCGATCGCAGCCAGTGTTAGTTCAAGCCAATCGCAACGGTACCGCAGCAGATCCTCGAAGCAGCACGCCGTCTGCCGTGTACCGACACAACCACGAGTCGTCTTTGTCCTACGGCCGTAGAACGTAGCCATTGACCAACGAATCGCCTTGATATTGCCTTCGACTCGCCGTCTCGGCCCCTTTTTCCCCTTCGCTTCTCAACTTCCAACCAGCCGTGAGAGAGTTCTCGGCGCATGAATACCATGGCGACACAGCGCACATCCAACGGCGTCGCCAACGGGCACAACGGGCAGAATGGGCAGAACGGCCATAACGGCACCAATGGCCACAGTGGTTTCCACAGCGACTCAGAACCCGACAGCATCAGCACAGATGCCAGCGACGTGAGCCTGGAGAGCATCGACAGCGTCAATGGCACGACGACCAACGGGACAAGTAGCTCAAAAGTCAACCCGCGGAGGAGAAAGCGCAAACAGTCCAGCCCGATGATGCCGGCGTTCATGGTGTCGGCACCGGGCAAGGTGATTGTGTTTGGCGAACATTCCGTTGTGCACGGCAAGGTGAGTGCGGATAGGAGGTGGTTGAGAGTGGGGAATTGGTGCTGATATGTTGGTTTCATAGGCCGCAATAGCTGCCGCCATCTCGCTACGGTCTTACCTCCTCGTCACAACGCTCTCCAAGTCCAAGCGCACAGTAACGCTCAAATTCCCCGATATCGACTTTGACCACTGCTGGAACATCGATGAACTTCCCTGGGCGACTTTCCAACAACCGTCCAAAAAGAAGTATTACTATTCGCTGGTTACGGAACTCGATCCCGAGCTGGTCGCCGCAATCCAGCCCTTCCTCGCCAATGTCTCACCCGACAAGCCCGCCGGCATACGCAAAGTACATCAGAACTCGGCCGGATCCTTCCTCTACATGTTCCTATCGCTCGGCTCCCAATCGTTTCCCGGCTGCCAGTACACACTACGGTCAACAATCCCAATAGGTGCCGGTCTGGGCAGCAGCGCCACCATCGCTGTGTGCATGTCTGCCGCACTGCTCTTGCAGCTGCGAACGCTGGCTGGCCCACATCCGGATCAGCCGGCCGATGAGGCGCGCATGCAGATCGAGCGCATCAACCGCTGGGCCTACGTTTACGAAATGTTCATCCACGGGAATCCGTCTGGCGTCGACAACACGGTCGCAACACAAGGCAAGGCCGTCGTCTTCCAGCGCACCGACTACGGCAAGCCGCCGTCGGTACGGCCGCTCTGGGACTTCCCGGAGCTGCCGCTCCTGTTGGTCGACACGCGGGTGCCCAAGTCGACGGCGCACGAGGTGGCCAAGGTCGGCAAGCTCAAGAACACGCACCCGGTACTGGTGGGCAGCATCCTGGACGCCATGGACAAAGTCGCGGACGCGTCGGCCGAGGTGCTCACCGAGGAAGGGTTCGACACGCAGTCCGAGGCCAGCCTGGCGCGCGTCGGCGAGCTCATGACCGTCAACCACGGCCTGCTCGTCTCGCTGGGCGTCTCGCACCCGCGCCTGGAGCGCGTGCGCGAGCTGGTCGACCACGAGGGCATCGGCTGGACCAAGCTCACGGGCGCTGGTGGTGGCGGCTGCTGCATCACGCTGCTGAAGCCCGGTGTCGAGAGGAAGAAGCTGCGTAAGCTGCAGGCGCAGTTGGATGAGGAAGGGTTTGAGAAGTTTGAGACTACGCTTGGTGGCGATGGTGTCGGTGTTCTCTGGCCGGCGGTGCTGAAGAACGGGATGGATGAGGATGATCAGGGTGGGATGGAGATCGACCTGGAGCGGTTCCTCAGTGCGGAGGGGAATGAGGGTGTTGAAAAGTTGGTGGGTGTGCATGGAGGGGCTGGCGAGAGGGAAGGGTGGAATTTCTGGAGGGTGGAGAGCTAGTGTATGGCTACAGGGGGGAAGCTGGACTGAAGGTTGGACTTGGTTGATAATATTTAGAGACAAATATTTCCTGGAGATTGGGATAGGAGTTCTGTTGGCGAATCGGCTTGGTATCTTCACATCACGGGTTTCTTCTTCTGGGGGACGGCGGCGGAAAAGGGATGGGTTGGTAGCCGCTGGCTTCTACTTTACTTCTATATTTGATTCCATGTAGAACATCTCTCGTCTTGTGGTGTTTACAGACTACCTTAGGTCTCTTACCCGATGTAATAATCTCCCTAAAACCTGCAATCAGCTTATAAGACAAAACAATTGAACGAACGCGGGGTACGGGTCAAGAAGAATGGCTAGTACAAAGTAAGGGAGTTAATGCTTAGTATTGTGCATTGTGCTTTCACACACGTTATAATTGTTCATCCCTGTCTGCCCCGCTTACTGAAGCTTCCTGCGCGAGCTGCCTCGGGCAGCTCCATTGACGATCAACCAACCGTCAATTCTTGGCTGCACTCTTTTAAAATCCACCCCGCCATCTTCGGGCCTCAAAGAAGCAGCCCACCATGCCCGGCCAAAGGCAAAGGAGCGAACAGGACCAAAGCGTCCGAAAGTGAGCGGACCCCATCCATCTCGCCTACCTTTGCTCATCGGGCCTTCCCTCGCCTACTTTTACCCTCCGCCGCAGCAACAGCTGAGCTGAGCTACCCATCCCATCCCGCAATCCCGAGCTAACCATCCACCCCTCCCCCTCCTCACAGCATCCAAACCCACACACACCACCACTACCATCACTACCACCACTACCAACAACAACAGTACCACCACACCCGCAACAACCAAGAAGCCACCACCGCCACCACCCACCACCACCACCACCACCACCACCACCAACAACAACAAAAACGCCACCCCCCCAACAACCCCGCCCGAAACCGTCCTCGCTCGCTCCGAAGCGCGCTACGCCGCCGCCCGGCCCCACGAAGCCCGCCTCCGCCAGAAAGGAGGCGGCTCGCTCTCCACGCTCTCCCACCCGGAACAAACCGCCTGGCTGGCCGCGCGCATCGCGTCCCGCATCGCCGCCCGTCCGGGCGCTCGCGTCGTCCTCGACTGCTGCGGCGTCTTCGGGTGCGGTCGCGAAGCTCGCGTGTGGTGGGGGGGTCAAGACGTTGAAGGAGGTGTGGAAGGTTGTGAACGAGGGTGGGGTTGCGTTGAGGGTTGCGAGGGTGAAGAAGGGGGATAAAGGTGTTGGAGCGGGTGTGAGGGAGTACGAGGCGAAGTGGGAGCGCAAAGTGGTGTTGGGGTGTTTGGAGGTGGAGAGTCGCTGTTTTCGGACGAGGAGAGAACGTGAAAGGAAGGGAGAGCTTGAGGTTCTTACTGGGGAACCGGTTGTTGTGACGGAGCAGGAGGTTTTTGAGGAGACTAGACGGCGCAAGGAGATGGCTGCGCTGAAGAAGGAGTTGTATGGCGGTGGTGTGGGTAAGGAGGGGAAGTTGGCAATGGATCCGGAGTGGGATGATGTTGAGCCGGTGGTGTTGGAGGAGCCTGAGGGCGCGCTGGCGGCGATTTCGTACTCCGCTGATTATGCTGAAGGTGAGTTCTCTTTCTGGTGGGTTGGGGGAAGGGGGTTGCGGTGACTGACATGCCCAGCCATGGCCTATCTCCGTGCGGTGATGCAGGCTAAGGAACACTCGCCGCGCTGCCTGCGTCTGACCGAGCATATCATTTCCATGAACCCGGCACATTATACCGTCTGGCTGTTCCGTGCGGCCAACGTGTTCGCCCTAAAGCTCCCCATCCCCGACGAGATGGAGTGGCTGAACGGCGTAGCCCTCGAAAACCTCAAGAATTATCAGATCTGGCACCACCGCCACCTCCTCGTGGAAAACTACCACCCCATCATTGCGGGCGACCCAGACGCCATTGCCTCCTTCGCCGCCAAAGAGCGCAACTTCCTCCAACAGATCCTCGCCGAGGACACCAAGAACTACCACGTCTGGTCATACCGCTCGTACCTGGTCGGCAAGTTCAACCTGTTCAACGACGGCGAGGAGCTGGCGGCGATGGAGGCCATGATCGACGACGACGTGCGCAACAACTCGGCCTGGTCGCACCGCTTCTTCCTCGTCTTCTCCAACCCGGACTACGCCACCCCCGGCAGCGCCGCCACCGAGGCCGACCCCGGCGTGCCCGCCGCTGTCATCGACCGGGAGGTCGAGTACGCGCAGGAGAAGATCCGGCTGGCGCCGCAGAACCAGAGCGGGTGGAACTACCTGCGCGGCGTGCTGGTCAAGGGCGGGCGGAAGCTGGCGACGGTCGAGGAGTTTGCGAGCGGGTTCGTTAAGGGGCTCGGAGAGGGTGAGGAGGCCGAGGACGTCCAGAGCACGCACGCGCTGGACCTGCTGGCCGAGATTTACGCTGAGAAGGGGGACAAAGAGAAGGCGGAATTGAGCTTGTCAAGGTTGGGGCAGAAGTGGGATCGCATCCGGGTTGGGTATTGGGAGTGGCGCCGGAAGTGCTTGGAGGTGCCGGCACAGGGGTGAGGGGACAACGGGCTTCCATTTGATATCCCTAGGTTTGTTCTGGGGTCTTTTTCTGCTTGGTGTTATGTAGGGTATGCGCGGAAAATGGATGAGTACTCTAGGTTATATAGCAAGCGGTGGGGTGAGGAGCAACGGAGGCAATCACTCGTTTATCATGGCTGGAAAGCGTCTAGTTTACTCTGAATTATAATTAATGTCGAGTATTATCGTAACATGCAATTTTCTTGTAACCGCCAAAATCAAATGAAGCCAACCTTGGCCGGTGATAGTATACCAAACGCCTCTTCCACAACCCTCCCGAGATGAAGACCCAGATAACCGCCGCTATGCTTTCCTTGAACCACGCCATCGCCACCTCCCCATCGTCCAAATTCCCAGCCGAGGCCAAGCCACGTGGCTAGACAAAATGGCTTCGTCGGACTTGGGGCATCCGTCCGATTTCCCGGCCAATCCTCCTAGTTTGCCCGGTAGTTGTGAGACATGATCAGATATCTCCTTCCGTATTTGGGCCCGGCCTTCTCGAGCACATCCCAGTTCGGTACCAGAATGAACCTGTCGTGAAACGTCTGCTTCTCCCAGTAGTCGTCCCCTGCGTTCTTGCTCGTCCCAAAGTACACCGTGCCGGAAACGGTCAAGGCCATCATCATGCGCACACCGTCGGTTGGAGAGTGTAAGTCGAGCATCTTCTGCGATGCGCCGAAGCGGTAGTCTGCGTTGATGACGTGCACGTTGTAGCCCTCGACGTCGTACCGCACGCGCCGTTTGTTCGGGTCGGGCTGCTTGGGGGCGTATTCTTGTTGCTTGAGTAGCGCCTCCCATTCCTGTGGCGTCGCGACTACCAGGCCATTGATGCAGATGTCGGCGGGGCGGGTGGCCCGCCCTGTCATAGGCTGCGTGGCCGTTGACGTAACCTGGGGAGATTGACTTGGTATCGTTGATCTGGCGGTAGTACCAGTCGACAAAGTTCTTAGCGGCTGGGGAGGAGTTAGCTTGCCGGGGAATCTGAGGTCGCATAATGGGAAAAGGTTTGAGAGCCCGGAACCATGCGCTGTATTGTCGTACCTTCACATGAACACCGGACGTTTGTCTCGTGGGAATTTGCCGACATGATGACTGAAAGCGCTTGCGGCTGCTAGGTATGAGAACGAGAGCTGGTGTAGGCTGTCTGTTGCGGGTCGTCGGGACGCTGATTGCTTGTTGGTGACAGTCCGAGACAGTTAGGTTGTAGGACGAGAATTGAAGCTAAATTGAGGCTCAAGAGTGGTGCGAATATATGTCGCAGGCTGCTCGTTGTCTGTTCTTTGAACAATGAAAATGTCAAAGAGCAGGCAGGCAGGCAGGCGGGTGGGATATGGTGGGGCATAACTGCCAAGCGGTGCATATAGACCGTTTAGTCACATATTCGTATAAGCGATTCAACACCTACCCGGATCGATAATAAGTGTCAATCCTTACTCACCACCTGCGTGATGTAATTAGATAGTTTGGTGTATTAGTGGCTAGTGTCGTTGCAGGTTAATTTCCATGAAAACAGCTTGTATCCAAGCCTATTAGTTACTCTATATAAAGTCCATAGACATCAGCCGTTGTTCATTCCTTCACCAAGAACTCTTCGATATCTTTATCCTCCAATTCCTCCTGGTTCTCCTGCAGCCGTTGTTCCTCGGCCTTCAAAAGTTTCTTAATCATATCGCGTTGCCTCCTCCTCGCCTTCTTGCCCCAGTCGGGCCCAGACGCCTCGGCCGTGGCCTCGTCCTCGTCGTCCGTGTCATCGGGGATGTTGACCCTCCCACGCAGCTCGTTGGCCGAAATCTTAGCTTGGTGTTCCGCCTCCGCTCGCGCTTCTTCTTCCTCGTGGGACTTCATCTGAGCCTTCATCCCGAGCTTGACAAGGTACGGTCTCAGGGGAGCATGTCTGTTCCCGCCAGTTAGTCTCACCCCTATCGCGCCCCTTGACGATATAACTCACAAGCTCCGGCAATGATGACGAGCCGAATAATCTGTTCCGGGGTCATGTTGCTAAATGACCCCTTCAGGTTGGTCGCAAAGCGGTTGCCTATCGTCGAGGCGAGGCCGGCGATGTTGTCCATATTGGATGGCGGGTGATTCTCGAACGGTAACGAGGCAATTGTTTGTTGCTGCGAATTTTGACCACGGAAAAGGCAGTGAAAGCGCTTTTTGGCGAATCAAGTGTACAAATATCCAAAGATCACAGTTTTTGGGCACGCTGTAATGGAAAGCGAGGCTGAGAGAGTTGCAGATGGGAAGATTGCATTTGCGCGAAAATCTTCAATTGCCGCTCGACTTCGTTACGTCGTTGGCTATTTATGCCAAGCCAAGACCCCACTATGAGCTGCCGCCGGCATCTTCGGCATTCGTCCTTCGTGCTCGCTCCTTTTATATTTATTTGCTTTTTGATTTTTGGAAGATTGATTACAGAGCTTGACTGCTGAGGTGGTAGGTAACGCATTTGTCAGTCCAACGCTTTAACTACCTGCCACTGCCGGTTACCAATGCTCCTTTCCCAGATTTGAGAATGAAGCTTAAAGTGACAGGGGTCTCGGCATGTCTTCCGTAAATAGGCGCTAGCCCCAAAGTAGAATAGGCCGGCCATCAATGAACATCGCTTAACTGCATAGTTGAGACGCGTCTTGACGCGTCTCCCGCTAACCACCAGCAATCATTCATCACCGAGTGCCAAGACCCACAAGAACCGTCATGGCCGACCTTCAAGATGAAGAGGTGCAAGAGGTAAGCCCACATAAGACACCCCCATTTTGTCTCTCTTTCCTAGCCATGTCGAAATTTACCATTTCCCCATTCAACTTGGCAATCAAATCCAACTGAATAACCATCCCTCATCCCCTTCACCCAAAGTCCATCCACGCTAACATCACACACCACGCCATCCAGCGCCTCAAAGCCGCCCTCTGGTTCTCCATCGGGAAGATTGTCGACCAAGAATCCCTCCAGCGCAACCGCAACGCCACCCCGCAGTTCATCGGCGCCCTGACCGACATGATCTGGCACCAGATAGGTAAGCAAGCAAGCCCCCACCACCATGCACATACCCTACTCCAGCGCTGCAGCAGTGGGGTCTAATACCATACACCGTGTTGTAGAGAACGTAGCCACAGATCTGGAAAGTTTCAGCCAACATGCAGGCCGCACCACCGTCACGACCGACGATGTGCTCCTGTTGGCCCGGCGTAACCAGGACCTGTACTCGGTTATCAAAGATGTTGTTGACAAGGAGAAGGCGGCTAAGGCAAAGGGGAAGGGCAAGGCGAGGAGCTGAGGGGTTTACTGGCCGCGGGGTGGTTGTGATGTGCTATGATATCTCTACTTCACTGCGCTATATCTAATGCCGTGATGGTGAATGACGACCTACAATTATGCAATAAATTCCACATGGCAGTCCCAACACCACGCAACAACCTTTGGCCTGAAATAGCAGTATATAATGAATCCGAGCAGTCCTCCCCAGCACACGCATCAGCCAAATATCACATCCAACAAACAGCACGATCACGGAGCGTCCCAACCCACCTCCACGCCCCGCCGTCTTGAATCTGAATCTCCTAGTTCATCTCCAGCTCCCGGTCCTCCTCACCCTCACCCTCCCCCAACAACCCCTCCTTCTCATTCCACTCCTCCGCCGTAAACCTAAACCGCTCCGCCGCCAGCATGATGACCGCCCACGCCTCACACTGCATCACAGCCAACAACAGCTCCAAGCCCAACATATTAACCATGCCCCTCGCCCCCCTCAGCCCCCACCACCACCCGGCGCCCTCCACAACCCCCTCCATCGGCATCCCCATCCGCCGCATATACGGCCGCGCCAGGCCCACCCACACCAGCGACGCCAGCGGCGTCATCAGCAGCCGCGCGGGCGTGATGGCCAGCACGTCGGTGGCCAGGATGGCGGGCAGCCGCGTGAGCACGTTCTCGCGGTACACGCGGTTGTCCTGGGCCGCGCTGCTGCCGTTGGCGCCCTCGCCGTCGCCACCGTCACCGCCGTCACCGCCGCCTGGGAAGCCGTAGTCGCCGCCGCCGCCGCCGCGGTTGGCGTCGCCGAGGTTGGGGTTGGGCCGCAGCTCGGCGGACCAGGCGCCTGGGGTGGCGTCATCGCCGCCGTTGTGCGCGGCGGCGGAGTGGGTGGAGGTGGGGTCCAGAGGGGTGGTGGGGTCGGTGGCCTCGACGTCGAAGCTGATGAGCGTGGCGCTGATTATCTCGTTGTCTTCGTCGTCTGAGGCGAAGTCGTCCTGCGTGCCTTGGGTGGAACCGCCGAAGGTGGGTTGGTCGGCGCTATTGTCGCCGCGGAGGGATACGGTGCTTTGTCGCCGGTGAGCGGGGGTGGCGGAGGGGTTGGGTGTTGTTGTTGGTGTTGGTGCTGTGGGGGAAGCGGGTGATTCATCAGTTCTGTGTTCGACAGAGGCAAACTCGGCGCCCGTGGGTAAGTTGGACCCAAAGTGCCGCCGCTTGTGCGCGTTGTGTGGCCGTGGAAGTAGCTGGTGGATCTTGTACCGCAACGTTTTGGTTATGACAGTGTGGAACTTGGTATAGAGGTAGAAACCAGCGAACGGCGCTACACCAAGTGCGAAGGTGCCAAGCCACCCGAGAAGGGTTCGGGGGCGATATGAGATGGGAGTCGGTGGAATGGGGATAGGTGATATGCTAGTTCCCGGGATGAAGAACCGCCAGTTGGGGACCCAGCTGTTGTAGGGAATGATTCCTGTCCGCTGCAAGAAGGCGTAAATGGCTAAATGTAGACGGATGTATGTCGTAGCATATCGAAATCTTCTCGGTTAGTGAGGTGTCGGCTGACAAAAGGCGGACAACATACAATGTGGTTTTCTTCAGCTCAGGGGCCGGTAGCTGCTCTAGGAGAGTGCTCGCCAGAAACGATGGCAAGCCGCCGAAGAAGTAGGAGCCCACAGACTGTTGGCTCCATGCGAGTTGGAACATGCCATAAAAGGTTGTTTGCGAGTATGGTTTATAGAGCTAGGTACCGTGTTAGTTTTTAGGTAGGATAGCAGGGGTGAGCAGTCAACGTACCAAGATGCGCTGCCTCATACCATTCACGCCCCAAATGGCCGCCGACTCCAGCACACCGCCAGCCAAAAGCAGCCTCCTGCCGATGCGGTCTTCATATCGGTGATGCCTGCGGGCTGCCTCGAGCTGTGCATCGGCGGCGCTATTCTCTGGTTCGGCAACACCAATAACCATCATCACTTCATTATGAGAGCGAATGACATCCCGGTTGATACGCTTAGTCTCTGGGTTGATAGGGCGGCCTCGCTCATCATACAGCTGCTGGGGAGAACGCGAATCCTCTGGACCTTCGCCTGGGACCACTTCGTCATATGGGGACCGCCCCTGGGAAGTTTGTTAGATTCTAAACAAAGTAAAATTTTACTCTGGATCAACCAAGTCTTACGAGTCCTAGCGATGTGATGGGCCCCAGCCTGCCCATGATTGCATTTCGTCTCTGCTTATGAAGGTGCGAGAGTCATTCGATAGTTGGGTTGAGTTTTAAATGATGAATCCGATATCCCTCAGGTCGCACAGCACAGCTTGGTATTCAGAGCGACGTGGGTGAATGTATCAGGCTTTGATGGATGAGTTTTGTAATTGTACTGTCCTTGATGAATGAGTTGTGTAATTGTCCTGTACTGTTAGCTGCCAACAGGCGGCAGAGCCTGGGCCTGCTGTAAGGCACCCTGCGTGCGCAGGGCGTCTGACCAAAAAACGCCCAACTCGAAAAGGAGCAAGCAATCAAGGAATGGAAGAGAAAGAAGCAAAGAGAATCAAGAAAACAGAAAGAGGTTGCAAAGGCTGAGCAGAATATATTTAAATAAAAAGTACCCGAGTCAACAAGAAGCAAAAAGTAGATTCCGGGCTTTTGAATGGCTTTCTTTTCGTTCCTTGAGTCCAATGTTTCGGCGGCACCTACACGTGAAGTTCGGCTTTTTTTGGCCAGAGATTGCCCTGTGATGGTGCTTGATGTGGTGGGCATGCGGCTGTCGGGATGCAGAGAGCACGGGTTCCACAGATCCAATTGCGCTAAGATAACCTTGTTTCCCCCTCCTTATCGGCGCCGCAAACCAAAAAGTTCAGGGAAAAATTGGAATCGCGAAAGTGCATCTCGGTCGCTCGGCACATCACCCACCGCAAGCCATGGCTACACGACAAGCGCCTAAGACGACCTTCGAGGTCGACAATGTTATCCAGCCAATTTTTACCGGAGGATCTGTTGCGCTTGAGAATGGCGCACGGATCCTCGCCTCGACGCTGGGCGAAGTCGCCGTTTTGACCGAGTTGAACACGGGGAAGCGCCTGGCCGAGATTGAAGGAGACGGCGAGCCGATTTCGACATTGGCGATTACTCCCTCGGCTTCCCACCTCGTAGTCTGCTCCCGGTCTTTGACTATGCGCATCTACTCCCTCAAGGTGTCTTCCGAATTCGACTCAGTGGAGGCCACCCTCGTGCGAACCTCGAAGCCCCACGCGACACCCGTTGTAGTCCTCGCTGTCGACAAAACCAGCACGCTTTTGGCCACCGGCGCGGCAGATGGGGCGATCAAAATCTGGGATATCGTCGGCGGCTATGTGACCCACACGGTCAGCGGCCAAAGCGTCCTGGTGTCGGCTCTGCACTTCTTCGAGATCGCAGCAACCGCCGAGACTACGTCCGAGCGGAAGTCGAAAAAGGGGTCGCGGAAAGGGCAGGACGGGCAAGGTCAGGAAGCGGATGTGGCATCCAGGTTCCGGCTGGCGTGGGGTTGCCAGGATGGCAGGATTCGTATTTTCGACCTCCACAAGCGCACGACAGTCCCTGTCTACGCCGATGCGAAACGGAGGAAAGAAGCGCACGAGTCGAATGTTCAGAGCATTCAATACTCGCCCGAACAGCACGCGCTCCTAAGCGGCAGCAGAGACAAGACGATGACTCTGTGGTTGTGGAGGGAAGGCGGCTGGCACGGAACCCCGATGTTGCGCCACGAGCTGGTCGAATCGGTGGGCTTCTTGAACGAGGGCAGGTGGATGTACTCAGCCGGGTCTAGCGGGCTGCTCAGGATCTGGGATACGACAACACACCACGAAATTACCACAGAACAAGAGGCCAAATCAGAGCCCGAGTCGATTCTATCCGCCATCTCCCTCCCTCACAAGTCTCTGGTCCTTTGCGCACAGTCCGATTCCACTCTTGCCATGTATCGAGTACCTTCGCAGGCCGACGTTGCTTCCAGCGGGGCTGTGCTCATGGAGCCGTTTAGACGCATTTCTGGCACGCACGACGAGATTTTGGATTTCGCATACGTTCTGCCCGACCAGTCCTTGATGGCCCTCGCCACCAATTCAGAGGATATCAGGCTCGTTTCCGTTGCCGATACCGAGACCCAAATCGACGGGCAAGAGGGTGGTGCATACTTTGGACACGACGTTGCGTTACTAAAAGGCCACGAGGACATCGTCATGTCTTTGGACGTGGACTGGTCGGGCCACTGGGTTGCCAGTGGTGCAAAAGACAATACAACACGGCTCTGGCGTATCGACCGAGAAAACAACTCATACACCTGCTACGCGGTGTTCACCGGCCACCTCGAGTCTGTCGGGGCTGTTGCTCTCCCCAAGGTGGTTCCTCCAGAAAACTCGGAAGCCTTCAAGAACCCGCTCGACCACCCACCAGCATTTATGATTTCCGGCTCGCAAGATAGATTCGTCCAAAAGAGAGATATTCCGCGCCAGTCACAAAAAGCAAACGTGTCTGCAAGTCTGAAGCGGTTAGCTCACGATAAGGATATCAACGCGCTGGATGTTAGCCCAACGGGGCGGTTATTCGCCTCTGCTTCGCAGGATAAGACTGTCAAGATCTGGGATTCCGAGAGATTGGAGGTACAAGGTATCCTCAAGGGTCACAAGCGAGGTGTCTGGACAGTCAGATTCGCCCCTCTTCATACACCGGCCATCCAAGGCGAGCAAGGGTCGGTCTCAGGGAAAGGCGTTATTTTGACCGGAAGCGGTGACAAGACGATCAAACTGTGGAACCTCACAGACTACACCTGCCTGAGGACCTTTGAGGGCCACTCCCACAATGTTCTTAAGGTTGTGTGGCTGCACATCCCCACCGACGAGGCCGCTGCCAAGAAGAGGATCCAGTTTGCCAGCGCAGGCGCTGACAGTCTGGTCAAGGTCTGGGACGCCCACCTCGGTGAAACAGAGTGCACGCTGGACAACCACGAGGACAGACTCTGGACCCTTGCGGTCCACCCCAAGACGAACACCCTCGTCTCGGGCGGCAGCGACTCCAAAGTCACATTCTGGAAAGACACAACTTCCGAAACACAAGCCGCAGCAACCTCAGCGGCCCTCAAGCTCGTTGAGCAGGAGCAAGAACTCGAAAACTACATTCATGTGGGTGCCTACCGCGACGCCATTGTCCTGGCGCTGCAGTTAAACCATCCGGGCCGCTTGCTTAGCCTCTTCACCAACGTCGTCACAAGCACCACCCCGGAGGAGGGCAGCTTGACCGGCGTCAAGGCCGTCGACGACGTTCTAGCCAGGCTCTCGGACGAGCAGATCTTCCTGCTGCTGCTCCGGCTGCGTGACTGGAACACCAACGCACGCACTGCTCCTGTTGCCCAGAGGATCCTCTGGGTTCTGGTCAAGAGCTACCCGGCCGGCAAGTTCTCCAGCCTATCGGTCAAGGGGGCCAGGGGCCAGAAGAGCCTCAGCGAGGTGCTGAATGCGCTGAAGGTATATACCGAGCGGCATTATAAGCGGATGGAAGAGCTGGTGGATGAGAGTTACTTGGTCGAGTACACCCTTCAGGAAATGGACAGCTTGGCTCCGCCGTCACTAGAGGGTGTAGAGGATGGGGATGCGGTTATGGTTGGGGCGTAAGCTGTCACGGCTGTGTCAATGTGGAAGGGTTAGGGTTGTGTGAAGCCATGAGGCTCATGTTAATATTTCCATGAGAGAAGCCATGTTGAGAATCATACTTAGAAAAAGAAGCGTTGTTCCAATTTATTTGGCTGGCCTAGGCCATTTTTGATATCCTTACTTTAGATAGACATGGTCATAAACTGTTATTTTTCGTTTGAGGCTGCTTCTGTGTCAAGCTTTGGTACTGAGCTCAGGTGGGGCATCAATTGGAGGCGTGAAGCTGGGCTGCCCATGGCGTCGCTCCTCGAAATTTCCCAGACATCAACAACACCCGACGTAGCAACGGCAGCACCCCCCGATATCCGGAACCGGCTCCATCCGCCCACATTCAAGGTCGCTTTCCCTGCAACAACTACTAGGCATGTCGAAACGCCAGGCATCAGAGGCTCTAGACGACCTCTCGGGAATCGAGTCGCCCGCATCCAAAAAGTCGAGATTCGACGACTACAACAAGAGCCTAACCCCGGCCAGCGTAGTCGAAAATGGAGACGAGCAGAATGGGACGATAGGGGGCGAAGAGGGCGAGACCGACGAGTTTTCCGACGAGGACGAAGTCGAAGAGAAGGCGCCGATTAGGCAATCCGCACCGACAGCAGGGTATGACGATCTCTACCTCGACACCATCGACCGCAACGTACTCGATTTTGACTTCGAAAAACTGTGCTCGATCACACTATCCAACATCAACGTATATGCATGTTTGGTGTGTGGGAAATACTTCCAGGGCCGGGGGCCGAAATCGCACGCCTACTTCCACGCGCTCGAGGAAGATCACCATGTCTTCATCAACATGAGCACCCAGAAGGTTTACGTACTGCCGGAGGGTTATGAGGTTACGAGCAAGTCCCTCGACGACATAAAGTACGTGTCAGACCCGCGGTACACGCGACAAGAGGTGACGGAGCTCGATCGCAAGCCGCACACATCCTGGACGCTAGGGGGCAAGGAGTACGCCCCCGGCTTCGTGGGTATGAACAACATCAAGGAGAACGATTACCTAAACGTCGTGGTGCAAGCGCTCTCCCACGTGGCGCCATTGCGCAACTACTTCCTCCTTGAGGATTTCACCTCCGCCCCCGAACTCGTCAAGCGCACATCCATCCTGTTCCGCAAGATCTGGAACCCGCGCGCCTTCAAATCTCACGTCTCGCCCCACGAGCTCCTCCAAGAAATCTCCCTCCGCTCCAACAAGCGCTTCACCCTGACAGCGCAATCCGACCCCGTCGAATTCCTCTCCTGGTTCCTCAACCATCTCCACCTCGGCCTCGGCGGCAGCAAAACCAAACCCGGCTCCTCCCCGATCCAGCGCATCTTTCAAGGCAAGCTCAAAGTCGAGTCCCAATCCATCACAGCGCGCGGCGACGGGCTCAACGACCGACTCCGGTTCGAGGAAGCGTCGGACGCCAAGACCGACATCGCGCGTTTCCTCCTTCTGACCCTCGACCTCCCGCCCGCACCCCTCTTCCAGGACGAGCAGGAGCGCAACATCATCCCGCAGGTGCCACTGGCCACCATCCTGGCCAAGTACAACGGCGTAACCGGCCAGGAGCTGAACGCGCAGCGCAAGCGGTACCGGCTGATGCACCCGCTGCCGCCCTTCCTCATACTGCACATCAAGCGCTTCAGCCAGAACAAGTTCGTGTCGGAGCGCAACCCGACCATCGTCACCTTCGACCCGCGCAACCTGGACGTGTCGCCCTACGTCGAGCCCGACCCGGCCCACTGCCCGCCGGGCGAGCCCGTGTGGTACGACCTGGTGGCCAACGTGGTGCACGAGGCTGTGCGCGCCAAGGAGGACGTCGCCGACAGCGCCGTCGGCGAGGAGCGCAAGACCTGGAAGGTCCAGCTGCGCGACAAGGCCACCGACGAGTGGGTCGTGGCCCAGGATCTGTTTGTGGACAAGATCCGCAGCGAGTTGCTGTATCTGGGCGAGAGCTACCTGCAGATTTGGGAGCGACGCAGGGGGCCGCCGCCTCGGCAGCAGAGTATTGTGATTGGGAAGGGGAAGGGGAGGGATTGATGGGTGAAGAAGAGATACCAATAGGAGCATGAAGTTTTCTCCATGTTGTGGTTGTTGGATGAGACCGGGAAACGGACCCGACCTCCAAGTTCTACCAAGCATAATATCCGGGGACCCCATGATAGGGCAAAAGACAAAGTTGTAGGTGGTTACAATAAAGTACTACATACACACCCCATCGGAACCCGACCCCTTTCCCATTCACCGTGAGTTCATTCACCCATGCCTGCCCAGCCGTTCACCCCGAAATCCCATTCAACGCTCCTTCCTCCCAGTGTGGTTTTTCATTAAGACCATGCCGTACCGTGACCAATGTCCAAGGAGAAACAAGAACAAATCAAGGACACATAAGGCCCTCGAGACCCAGATCGAACCGAACCCCAGATCGGACGCTTCAGGATTTCAGATATGGCAAAGCTTGCTGATTCGGTAATGTACAATCGTGGAAACAAGACAATGCCTGCTTTCATCGCCATGCCCTGACAATGCTTGATTCTTTTTTTTTTTTCTTTCGCTTTCCGCTTATGAATTGATGGAGTTCTTGTGCTCCTCGGCCTGTTGCTGTGAATGTTGCTGGTGCTGATGCTGCTTGTTCGACGACCGCTTGTCGCCGTGGTGATTGGCTTTTTCTCGCCGTGACTCCTCGATGGCTGTGCGCTGCTGGAGGCTCGAGTCGTGGCTCTTCCATTCGAGCTTGGTGTCCGGGGGGAAGGACAAGATTCGCCGCATTGTCTCACTGGGATATGTTAGTGGGGTGAGGGCTCGGTGGGGGTGGGAGAGGACAAACGTACCGAACCTTGAGGACCCGCTGTCCGTTAGCACGAGCCCAGATGCTGAGGATGTCCTCGCCATTCCGGACGCTGAGCACCACCCCGCACACCTCCTCACTGGCCTCGCCGAACTGATCGCCAATAATGGCAAACAACAGGTCCTCCCAATATCGGTCGGCAACGCCTTTTCTCAGACGCACCACCCACTTCCCTCCGTTCTTATTCTCCTCGTCCTCCCATATTGGCCGAATGCCTTTCTTGAACAGGTGGTAGTCCGAGACCAACGGCAGCGTTGAAGGCCGTTTCAGGTGCCGGTAGACGCCGAAGAACTGCTCGATCGAGTCGACCGTGGCGATGGGGTGCAACGTCTTTTCGTACTCGATAAACCCGTTCGCCTTGGAGATGGGCGGGCGGAACCAAAACACCCAGTTGTTACGCAGCGGGTGGGTTAACGGCCCTGCCGGCCGGGCCGCCGCCTTCCCCACTTCCCCCAACGAGGCGAGCGAGGCCGGCTTGCTAATTGCCCTGCCGCCTAAAACCCCGTCCTTTGCCGATTTCTCAGCGGTCGGAGTCTTTGCGGCGGCGCCCAAGGTTGCCTCGAACGGGTTCCCCGGCGACTTGGGAGTCTTGGCCGAGCCGAACGAGGCAAATGCGCCCGAGCCGAGGGCAAAGGCGCTCGACGCTGCCCCGATCGGAGACGCCAGACTGCCGCCTGGTGTTGTTACCGAGCTGAGCGAGTGTTTTCCGTGCGACGTGCTATCACCGCCAAATCGCTTGACGGAGGGGTTGCGTCCCGACGGGCTTTCTTGGCCGGAACCTGTTGAGAGAGAGAGCTTGCTCGAGCTACCGCAAGGGGTACTAGAGTTAGGACGGCGCACGACGATGGGATGGCGGAACCTGACTCACTTGGCACGGCGACTCCATAGATTATCCATGAAGACGTCGGAAACCGTAACTCGACGGGGAAGCAAGCTCAGCAGGGAAAGCGAAGCCGTCGGGCAGAGCACCGGAAACACCAAGGACGGAAGACGACGTCGCAATCACTAATGTGTCCCGATCGGTAGAGATGAGGGGTGGGCGGCGGTTGTCCGGGGTATTATTGTAGGGCTGTTGTGGTGGGGGGTGGAAGCTGTGTCAAAACGGCTGGCGATTTTCGAGCCGGGCAGAAGGTGATGTCAGGAGGGCTGTGAATTTCAGAGTCGTCAGATGTCGTATTAGTCGGGATTCTTGTTGATGTCGATTTGGCTGGCAATGAGGCTATGAGTACGAGATTTAATCTCGAGGGTATTGTGGACGATTTGGTCTTTCTGGGCGTGTCTAAAACTGTATGTGTGCTCGATTGGCAGGACGGGATCTTTTTCGAACTGGATTCTCAATCATGAAAAGAACAAAACTTGAAAGCCAGAGGCAGAGTGGCGGAAGGGGTCGCCGACTCCACCACAGTGCTGCAGCCAAAAAAAACATGACTGGTTTCGAACCCACCCAATGCATGGTCCGTGCTGTGGAACAGGCCACTGTGAAGCTCGCCATGGAAGCCAAGGAGGGGCCCAACGTTGTGGGCGGTGAATGCTGTCGCAAAACCACAGTCGGCTTGGCAATCCTTTTCAAGAGGAGATTTCTCGGAAGGGGTCGGTTTCGCTTCTTCTTTTCTTCTTTTCCACAAACAAAGACCACAGTTCATCAAAAACATTGCCAGTCTGCCACCAAATCGCACCACGCTGCTGGCAATATCGAACATGTGTCGAGATTGACTCTATCAATGCCCTTGCTTAAAACCATCATCACGAGTGCCCCATTTGCGCGGCGTCCATGATGCGGTGATGACCTGAAGCAAGATCTGGACATCCATTTTTCTGCCACGTACATGTAGCTACACTCGGCGAGACGCGTGCTGAGCCATTGGTATGACCGCCGTCGATGATTAGTTCTTGATCAGCCATGTTTTATTTCAGCTCTCCCGGGCTCTTCGATTTGTAAGTCGTTGTCTTGTGCGTTTTGCTTTTCCGACAGCCCTGATGACCTGCAAACTTTCCGGTAAACCAACTCAGCAACGACAGGCCTTCCTCGACCTTGATGGGACGGGAATCCGCAGTCGTGAGTTGAGCGTGACGATACCTGGCTTTACCTGAGCTTTCCTTCCAGCCAATTCACCTGCTCTCCAAGATTGCCCAGCTCAGAGCTAATTGTCCAAGGGGCACAGACACAAGCGAGCGCTGCCCACCTTGTGAGAGGCGAAATCTACGGTCGAGTCAAGGCCCCGCCCGTTGTATAGGTATTTATTGGTCCATGACGAGCTGCGTGGCGTGAGATATCTCGGCTCGTCGAGTCTTCTAGTCAGATCTGGTTTCTCGGTTGCACACATCGACACCGCAGCGGGGAGACGGCAGCGGTATGACGGACAAGGTGAATGCAGAAGGTTATACCGAGCTACCCCACGCATTGTGAGGTCGTCGGCATCCCGGTTTCGATATCGCATAGCTTCAAGATTGCAACCTCCCGAGCACGTTCTCTTCCTGCCACGCCGAGGAGTGGGGGTTTTGGCTGTTCGCCTGGGTCGCAGCTTTCCCTTGCAGCTGTAAATCACAGTCGATGCGGTACAGGCATCTCCGGGTACACTACCACATGATCCAGTCTCACCAATCAGACTGCCGCTTGTTGGTTTCGGGCTGTATCTCAACCGTGGCAGCCCGAGATCTTGAGGCGGCCCGAGGAAACCTGGCGTGGCTGTTTCGACCGCAAGTCCCGTCGCAAAACACAGCTGCCGGCCCCGCTATTTCCGCCCCGCGTAAAATACAGTGCGTTACCCCACTACTGCCCGCGCACACGCTCTCCAACGCTACGTAAAAGGTGGGGTTGACTTCTGCCGGTGACCGCACAGCGTGTAACTGCCCGATAAAGAGAATTTCCAGGCGAGCCAGGTAAGCATCTGAACCGGTTGACCTTAGCAATCGTTTAAACTCATCCAACATCGAAAAAAATAGAAAAGGGCCCATCTCCCGCCCCAATTGTTGTTGTTGCAGAAAATCAAGCCTCATTCATCCCAACTATCTGTCAGTACCCGACTGTTTTGCCTGACGTCCTCCGAGTGCCCCTCTACCCCGCTACCGGATCCTTGTGTCACTGACAAGTTCCATTTCCGATTTCGTCAAGTCGGCAAGCACCTCGAACCTATACCATCAAAAACCAGAGCCCATGGGCGACCTCGTTCCCAGTCTGGAATTGCCTCCAGAGGCCGCTAAAAGCCACGCCATGGATAAAATCACAGACAAGATCGCGGCCTTGCCCGCCGGGCAGGACTACTTCTCGCTCGAATTCTTCCCGCCCAAGACCGCCATGGGCTTCTCCAACCTTCGCAGCCGTCTCGACCGCATGGCCAGGGCTCTGCGGCCGTTATTTGTCAATGTTACATGGGGAGCAGGAGGGTCGACAGCAACCAAGTCGCTCGAGCTGGCTGAGATTTGCCAGCGGGAGCTGGGCCTCACAACATGCCTGCACCTCACCTGCACCAACATGAGCCGTCGCTTGATCGACAAGGCTCTTGACGATGCAAAGGCGCTCGGCATCCGCAACATCCTTGCCCTAAGGGGAGACCCCCCACGAAGGGCCGAGTACCGCGACGCCAATGAACCCGAACCCGAGGAAGAGGAGGAATTTTCTTGGGCTGTCGACCTTGTCCGCTACATTCGCAAGACACATGGTGACTACTTCTGCATCGGCGTTGCGGCATACCCGGAGGGCCACGCCGATGAGAGCCACCCGCTGGGACAGAGTTTGGAGCATGACCTGCCATATCTAGTTGAAAAGACACAGGCGGGCGCCGACTTCATCATGACCCAGCTATTCTTCGATGTCGAGGCGTACAACCACTTCGAAAAGACATTGAGGGAGCATCCTAGTGGGGCCTTCAAGAATATCACCATCCTTCCTGGTCTCATGCCGATTCAGAGCTACCAAATGATCAAGCGGACAACAAAGCTCAGCCACGCCAACATCCCCGACTCTCTCATGGCTCGGTTAGACGCGGTCAAGGGCGACGATGAGAAGGTGAAGGAGGTAGGCGTAGATATTCTCAGCGAGATCGTCGAGCAGATCAAGGAGGTCAAGAGCAGGACCGACGAGCCGAGAGGCTTCCACTTCTACACGCTGAACCTAGAAAAAGCCGTGTCATTCATCGTCGAACGAACCGGGCTGATCTCCCCCATCACCCCCGAAGAGGAAAGCGCCGTCATCGACCAGGGCCCGCTCCCGGATATCCGCCTCCTACGCATCAACGGATCTACCCCCGACCCGTCCTCGCACGACCCCATGCGGCGGAAACCCTCAGTCGGCTCCGACCCCCGCGACCGAGTCATCGTGCAGGGCCGGTCCACCTCCTACCCTGATTGGGAAGCAACCGCTCTCGAGGCCAGCGTGCCGGCAGAGCCCATCAATTCCCGCGCCAACACGCTCGCCATCTCCGAGGGCGAGGGCGTGCTCGGCCGGGAGGCGACGTGGGACGACTTCCCCAACGGGAGGTGGGGGTGACGCGCGGTCGCCGGCGTACGGACAGATTGACGGCTACGGCGTCAGCCTGCACGTCACGGTGGCACAGGCGCGGCAGCTCTGGGGCGCGCCCGTCTCGCCGCCGGACATCAGCGCCATCTTCATCCGCCACCTGCGCGGCGAGCTGCAGACCATCCCCTGGAGCGAGGAGAGCTTCAGCGCCGAGACGGACAAGATCCGCGACCAGCTGGTCGCGCTCAACTCCAAGGGCTGGTGGACGCTGGCGTCGCAGCCCGCAGTCAACGGCCTGCGCTCGAGCGACCCCACCTTCGGCTGGGGCCCGCAGAACGGCTTCGTCTTTCAGAAGGCCTTTGTCGAGTTCTTTTTGCCGTTGGCCGACTGGGCGGCGCTCGAGAAGCGGCTCAACCGGCCCGAGATGGAAGGACGTCGTGTGCTTCTACGCGGCCAACGGCAAGGGCGACTTTGTCAGCTCCGACACGGCGCTGCCGCCCGCCGCCGGGGCCGAGGAGCGCGAGGCCAGCACTAACGCCGTCTCCTGGGGCGTGTTCCCCGGCAAGGAGATCGTCCCCCCGACCATCATCGAGGAGGTCAGCTTCCGAGCGTGGAGCGAAGAGGCCTTTGGCATCTGGGGGGAGTGGGTCAAGATCTACGAGAAGGGGTCGGAGAGCGAGCGGTTCTTGGAGCGCGTGCTCGCGGATACCTGGCTCGTAAATATCATTCATCATGATTTCCTGGAGACTGATGCGCTGTGAGATTTGCTGCTTGGTTGAGGGGCGTGTAGGTGAATATAGGGGCGGGTAGCACGACTCAGATGCGTGGGAGATCATGGCAGCGAGCATTAGGGTTGTGTGCGAAAAGCGGTACTGAGGTCGTATCTAGGGGCAGGCGACTGTGTGGAATGGACGGGTTGTACGTAGGAGGTTGTGGTGATGGAGGAACATGCCGGGAATTTTACCCATCCCGAATCTGGCAAGGAAGGACAACTATGGAGCTAGATGGCCGAGCCCTGATGTGATCTAGCCTGAGAGGAGGTTTGACCACCACTATCACGAAGCTTTCAACAGGCCCAGATCGCGATCTCGGGTTAATCATGAGAGTGCTCGCTGTCGCCTCAGCCAACCTTTGCGCAGATAAGAACACGACAAGTTTAGATATATGATTGGGTTTGCTCGGTCCAGATCCGCGACCGGCGACGTATTAGAGTACATGGAACCTTGGAACTCCTCATCGAGCAGATTCGTAATGAAAACTTCAAAAAACAAAGGCGAAAAAAACCCATGCCTAATCCATCCATCATCCCCTTCCCTTGAGCCTCCCTGCCGATCCGATAACCGAGATCTAAGCATGGAGACCCCTAACCAAATTCGAAGTTAAGCCACCGAGCGAGCCACCCTGCCAGGTAAGTCCCGTCAGCCTAAGTGACTAAACCCGGTCCTCTTTTAAACCCGGCCCGATTGTTCGGTGGTGGTTGCTATCTACTCCCTCCATGCATCCGAGATGCGGGGAGACGAGCCGGCGGCTGGCTGTCCGATCAAGCCCTGGCCTTTCTTTTCATTCTTTCTTAAGTGCTACTGAGCAATGAATGCCCACCCCGCCGGCCGACCGATGAATTGACTGATCGATCAACCGTTTTTGGTTTGATATGACGAATGAATGAAGCTTGGGAACTTGAGGGGAGGAGAGGGTTTTGAAAAAAAAATCAGGTAGAACAAACGTAGGAAAAAAAAAAAAAAAAAAGGGCTGCGAGCACTGTTTGCTGCAGTGCCGCGCCTGGAAATTGCCGCTTCTGCTGCTTTAGCAGAGAGGCGGGTGGGATCAATGTTGATAATGCCGGTTTCTTTTTGTAGATGAGCCGCTTGTGGTTGGGTGTGATAAGTGTGTTGTGGTGACACAGAGGGTTAAAGTCTTGATGTCGATGTGGAACAAGGAGAGGTGGATAGATAAGCGAGTACCCATCTCGAGGTCAGGCCATTGCCGCATCCTTTGTGGGCGGCCTCCATGGCTGACCGAGTCGCTGGGCTGATTTAAACATCACCTGCGTCCCACGCGTCTTCCTCGTCGCCCTGGTCCTCGAATCCACCAAAATCGATATCGGCGGTAAGCTTGGCCTCGTCTTGGTCAAAGCCCGTGCACATCTGGTTGTTGGTTCTCATGGGTGCGTACAGATTAGAAGCAGGATAGGTGGTGAACGCGGGGGTGAGGTTGTCCTCGTACTCAAACGAGGTTGTCGTACCACCCAAGTTGTCGGTGGAGGCGGTTGTCTGAGGGATGGTCATGTCCTGGATAGAAGGGGTGGGGGAAGGCATGGAGTTGAACATGTTGGTGTTGAAGGACGGCGTGTTGGTGGCAGCGCTAATGTCCATACTGGCGTTGTTCATTGTCATGTTGCCCATCTGCATGGTCTGAGCAGGAGTCGTGTCCAAGTAGGATAGGTTCGGAGTGGCCGGGCTGCTGTCGGCTGTGTAGCTGCCGCTGGAATAAGCGGAGCCACGGCGGGAGCTGGTCATACCCATGGCCGGGGCGTTGGCAACAGACGGAGAGGCGCTGGTTCTGGCAGGGGGAGGGGCGACGTTGTAACCGAAGCCGGTGGCAGGGTCAGTGTACCCGTTGGGCAGGTTGGACGACGAACTGAGGCCCGGGATGGGCGCCAAAGTGTACGAAGGACCCGTAGGTTGGGTCACGGCAGGACGAGGTGGGGCCGGGGCAATGGCGATGAGGCGGGGGCGCTTCGGCTTCTCGGCGGGCTTGGCCCAGGCGGAGCGAGGAACCAACTGGCCGGCGTTGCCTTGGGATTTGGGCTTGATCTTGGTGGGGGTGGTGTCAAGCTCCGAGTAGTCGGGCGAATCCTCCTCGTCGTCAAACCCGGCCTCGGGCTCGATCTTGACGGCCTTGCGCCGCTTGCTGGTGGGGGTGGTGCCCGAGCCGGGCTCGGTGGCCTTGGTAGACCGAGACCGTTTCGTCGTGCTCGGCGTGGCCGGCACACTACCGGTGGCACGCCCACCACCCTTCAGATGGGCACTAAATGCGCCGACGGGGTCCTCGCCCTTCTGGGCAGCCGCCTTGAGAACATCGCCGCCCTTCTTGATGTTGCGGAACTGGAAAGCCAGCCCGTCTGCGGTGCTCTCCCCGAAGTACTTTTGGGATGTCTATACTCAAGTCAGCATCTGTTCCTCGACTCAAGGCTCGCTTCCAACACAGATCCAGCAACTCGTCGTGGTTGTTGTGGTGGCGGCAAAGACGGTTACGGCGGCAACGGCGGCAACGGCGACAATGGCGACGGCGGCTGGCTGGGAGAGGCAACTGGTCTTACCGGACTCCTGCTTCAGGACTAGGATATCGTAGTCCCCAGGATCCAACCCCTCCTTCACCAAGGCGGTGGTAACCTTGGCCTGGGCCCTGGCGGCCCGGAACTTGTGCTCCATGGAGGAGACGGTAACCCCTCCGCCATGGAACTTGGCGATGTCTGGGGAGTTCGGACAGTGCCATGGTCAGTTCCAAATTCCGGAGGTACAAGGTTCCACGAACAAGTCGAATGGGCAAGAGACGGGTGCCCTCGTCGCGGTCTCTCTCGTCGCTCCCGCCAGCCCGCCGTGGTCTAAGCATTTAAATTGATCAAGTGAGTCCGACCAGTGGCCGGGAGCAGCGAGAGAGGACGAAGGGGCGCTAGTAATGAGAGAATATGGTTTGCATACCGTTGTAGTTGAAGCGATGGTTGCCCAACGAGGCAACCAACGCGGAAAGCAGGCGCGCCTGCGCCTCGTACGACTTGAACTGAGCCGTCCTCTCCTTCTTCTCCTTGCCCGGAGTTCCTTTGGGCGCCATTGTCGTTTTCTTTTGGCGTTTTTAAACGCGGGAGGCAGGGAAAGACGTTGGGAGAAGAGACTCTAGGCGTGAGGTCAGCAATCAAAGTCAAACTTGCGAATGCTTCGCGGGCCAAGGTTGGAATAACGGGTGGCAAAGAATCCCTTCGAGAGGGTTTGCGGTCAACTGCTGAAAAGTGAAAGTGGGAGAGAATAAAGATGGAGGCAAGCCGAGTTGGCTGAAGTATCGCTCGCAGCCCTCGAGAAAGGAGGAGAAGGATTTCTCAAGCAGAATTCAGATGAGGCAACTATCAAGTCCCTCGCAGGAGCGCCTTAAATCCGAGCTCAACTTGAACATGACAAAGAAGGACTAGTAGTCGGTGTGAGAGAGAAACGGCGCCCACCTCGATCGATTTTGCGGTCAAGTCGGGGCGACCGACTCGACGGACTCGATCATCGCCGCCAAACTCGTGGGCGCCGCCGTTTAAAAAACAAACCACAGCATAAAGAACAATGGTTTACATACCTTTAATGGTCGCGAGAGGGAGATAGGAGCTGCTAAGCTGGCCGAAATGCGATGTTTGTGGTGGAAGAAAGGCAGAAGATCGATCGGTCGAGCTGAGAGAGTTGTGGAAAAGAGAAAGAGAGAGAGGAAGAGGAAAGGATTGCAATTTGAAAGCGAGGGAAGGAATAAATAAACGTGGGCTATCTGGAAGGACCCGCGCGCGGGTCTTAGGACTGACGAGCTGATTTGACGACGGCGAGCCTGTTGATGGGAGCACAGGCCGGCCTGTAAATCGACCGGGGTGTCGTGAGGATGTGAAAGAGGTTGTGGGAAAATTCTATTGGGGGTCTGGTTAGCTGACAGCATGAGCACGATGAGACAAACAGATCGTGACTTGGTGTTGAGAGGTAAAATCCAGAGAACGATTATCTAGTGTCATTCAGGGGTAATCAACAAAAGGGGTTGTGAGCAGGAGAGTCCAAGAGGGAGGTTGCCTGGGGAACAAGGTAGGCAAAGTAAAGAGTGATCCTGCTTAGAGTACTCAAACAGGATTGAACAAAATAAATCATGAAAAGGAATTGTAAGCTTTGATAATCGCCTCAATGGGAGAAGGGAACAGAATCACACTGGCTCATGCTGGGTTTGGGGCATGAAGGGGGAGGATGAAAAGGGGTTAACAAGAACTTCAACTTGAACTCAAATTTGGTCCAAATAACCTGAAGTTAGGTACACACGTGCACGCAAGTATAGATGAATGTACTTGGCATAAGATGAACTTACAGCTAACAAGGAAACGACCTTAATATCTCCAAGCAGACTGGCTTCCCAGCTCTCCCCCCAACCTGACCCGCCCACCGGGCGCAAACGGGCGAGATAGGACAGCCGGGGTAACTATGTAGAGCAGGCCATGTATGGTGTTGCAATTGGCCACCAACGATATGAAGGGATGGGTGTATTTGTGGTCGTGATTGTTGTTGTTCTTGTCATTGAGCAACTGTTGCACGCAGCCTTGTTATCAAGGGGTGAATGGGGAAGAAAATGCAACTTGCAAGGCTGAAAGTATGCATTGACTGTCTCCATCCTACGCTGAAGACAGTTTAGTGTGTTAGTTGTAGTTTGTTATGGACAACCAATGGCTTTGGCAGGCCCCGGTCATTGGTGCCATATTGCCGGCAACCGGTAAAAGACTACACTGCAAGGTGCTCTGATGATATAGGGATATCTTAGAGACATTGAATGTTTGGTATTTCCCAATCAATGTATTGGTTTGTAGGTAGATTATCGTGCTCAGAAGTAGCTTGCTAACGTCCTTTCACCATCTTGGCAAAGTCCAATGGAACCCCAGGCTTCGTCAACAAACAATCCGACCTTGTCACTGACCCCTGTAAGTTCAGGAGATTCCTCGCAGACGCTTCGTCTACCAATAAATAGTCAATACATTGCAAGTCTATCATGACAAGTCCCATTTATAGTCCCGGGTCTTTATTAAGTCTTCTAAATCTATCCAAGCGCATTTTTGGTTTATCATCATACTTCATATCGTCTTCTCTGTCGTTGATGTCCTCCGGCCTGGCACGTTGCTATGGCCACTTGCCGTGGTAAAACCGTTCGGCTGCAGCTCATGTTGCCAGTTGGCGCTCAGAGGCTCCTTCGCAGTTGGCCCGCCGTCACCGTACATCATATATTGCACGCCTAGGAACGAGTCGCATGCAGCCTGGAACATGCCGCAAATCTTGAACGCCGGGGGGATCGACGTTGAGGAAGTGAAGAACCAGAACATCTTCATGCTGTCACCAATCAGCCAGCTGGCCAGCACTGAGACTCGGAATCCCTTGCAGGACCGAGATCGTATATTCGCCAAGATTTGCGGAATAGGTAGCGTTGCCTCAACGGAGAGACCAATGACCCCAATCATAGACGAATACGATTGGTACACCCAGGGAACGGGTGCCAGCAGCAGTTCGAGAACTACAAGGCCAACAAACAGACCCAGAAGGCACTGCCAATATCTACTCGCAGCGTCAGCACCTTTTCATCTCCGATATTGGATTGCGTGCGGGTAACCCACGGCTTCGGTGACCTCCACTGCCAAAAGTTGAATGGCCTCTGAGACTCGTTTACCCGAGCGAACGGGACCGCAGCGTCACCCCCCTTTGAATACGGTGCCGGCCGGTGATCCAGGCCGATCTTCAGCAGTATCACCTGCATGGCAACCATGACGCAAGACTGGACGAGAAGCGCACTGTCGTATTTCGCACCGGGGTAGTAGAATATTCCTGAAATGGAAGCGCGAGTGTCAGTTAGCCAATGCTAGAAGGGGGTGTTGGTAGGCCGGGCTCGGCTAGCACTAACCTGAGCAACGATGCGACAAGCATGATAAGGGGGATGTCCAGAGAGAAGCCGGCGCTGGACCTCGTCCGATGCATCGAGTAGGCTTGGTCGCTGTACGAGAGAACTGGCGACAGTATTAGGAATGCCGGGGTAAGGTACCCCGACAGCGTCGTCAACCAGCTCATGTTGCCTGTGGGACCGTGCAGATAGAAGTCGTTCGTTGGCGGTCTAGTGTCACGAGGAAGGGGACTGGTGACGAGAGTGGTCTCGGGAAAGAGCAATTGACACGGGAGAGGAACGTATTCTCATCTACAGGTCATTCCGAGAGGGTTGTCGTAGGTAAGCTACGGCGATGCGACAAGCAAAGGGCGGCCGCGGTGGTTGCGCGATGCAAAATTTCAGGTTTCGAGATCAAAGTCCAAAACGACCCTGTGGACCAAACCAGGACACCAACAACGCGGCGGGATCGACGGGAAGCTCCAAAATTGCGGAGTCCGTCTCAAGTGCCGGCAGGTCCCCAGCAGCTTGGATGCAGCTGTCGGCAGCTGCCTAGCCAAGTCTTATCTGCTTTGGGTAAGTGGAAACAACGGTTGCCAGGTTCACCACCGCAGTTTTAAACAACATCAATTCAATCAAAAAGGGGAAGGAGTAGACGTCAATTCCTGCTTGCCAGGACCTGTAGCCTGCGAAGAAATTGCCCCGATATTAAATCTTAACATTCAAGTTTCTAGAATCGCCACTTGTATGGTTTAAGTTCGATTGCTCTTCCACCGGTCTCCTGCATTAAGCCGCACGAAAAGCGGCATTCGAGACCACCCCTCTCCAGTTTATTCCACTGGTGCTTTTACATCCAGCCGGAAACCGTCCGGTGTGTAACGGTGTCAGACTCCCGATAATTGGCTTGTAAGACCCATCCGACGCTCGTTTCTGAAGAAGGAGTGCTTGCGGGTTGAGCTTTGTGGTTTCGAGACAATACAAACACGAGGAGGGGGTGATTGAATCTCTGCTAACTCTTTTCTCGACATAGGTTTGGACCATGCCTGGAAAAAACAATGTCTTTTGCATCGCCGGTGCCGAGCCATAGCCAATGGCTTATGGAGTGGCTTACGGAGAGAATGCGTTCTTGACGTATTCTTGAGCGTTCCGTCATGACCCAGTTCCCGTTCGGTTCGTTCGGTATCCTCACGGCACCGACCCTGGCCCGAAAATCTGAGGCATTCGGTGAGCGTGGCTCGTTCATTGCCCAGCCGAGCAATTTTAGCGGCCCTAGAGATATCAGGGATGGCAGCGGGCAGGCACAAACGTGGCTAAAGCCCGTGAAGCCCCCTTAACTCGCGCGACAGGCCCGCGGTGATTCGGGGTCAAGAGAACCTGGGGAGGCAATAATCTCAAACAGCTCACAACCTAACCTACAGCTTCCGGCGATCGGCCAGCACTCGGCTCAGCTTATCAACTTGCGCAAATGTGACCTGCAGGGCAACACATAATCAACTTCTACGGGGATTACGGAAAACCATGTCGGCAACGGGACTTTCTCCTCGTTACAAGAAAGGAGACAGTGAAGTGAACGGCGATGAGTGAGCAGTTTGTCTCCAACGCTGGACCAAAAAGCTTTGCGGGACACCACATCAATAATAACCGCCTGGTAGATACCTATCCCGTTGGGCGATCGGTCACCTTCTCCAAGGCTCACTACTTCATCATGACCGAAGGGGGTCTGAACGGCATCGGCAAGGACGAAACTCAAATTGCGCCGTCCGACACCGGATTGCTGACGCCAAACCTAGTCTGAGATGTGGCTTTGATCATTTCCATAATCTTCCATGATACTGACAGGATCCCGACATTCAACCCGGGCATGAACCACACCCCTCTTCACCCTACAACCTCGCGTAACGCACATATCATCTAAGAATACAGCAACTAAAATGCTGGTTAACCGTCACAGTCTAGACCGAACTCCGATTGAGGTTGGGGGGAAGGATTGGTCGTGCGATTTTGTTGTGACGAGACAATGAGCAAACGCCGTCGGATCTGAGCCCCTTGGGGCTTTCTTGAGAGCGGCTTCGTCTCTGTCCAAGCCGATCGTCCGGGCAAACTATACTTGCGACTCAAGAGGACCCAATGCAATGTACGATTTGAAGGACCTTTGCAACTTCCCTTTTGCAAGGACCGCCGCAACTTCTTCCTGCTGCGATGAAGGCGAAGACGATGCATGGATCATGCCATGTTGTTTCCGAAACCACGTCGGTTGTTTCCCAGGGCCCTTAGGACCTCGAAGAGAGTGGTCAGATGGCTGGCTCGAACGTTACCGGCAACTCGCTCCGCCATGCACAGTTGCAGGACGTTTTGAGGGGGTGAAATTAGTCAAACATCAGGCCGGGGAAGTCCTGCAGGAGGCGGTTATCCAAATCGGCGACCAGACACAATTGCCCCGCTCCATCACAGGTCACGCGGCAAAGAGACCTGCAGTGCTGGCTCTTGGACGGGCAAACTGCCGGTGCCGCTCGTGAGCCATCCTCTTCAGACCTTCGAGAACCGGTGCGCCTTTGCGCGCTCGGAAAGACGGCCCTCGAGCCCCAGTTGGATCAAAGGCCTGGTCCAACAGGGGACTTGGCGCAGTCAGTGTCACAAAATGCCTGTCGGTAGTCGTCTGCGTGCTCCTCAACCTTATTTCCGAAGCATGTGTTGCTGGTGAATCGCTTTCGGCCGATTGCTGTGCTGTTGGGAGGAGCAAAAGAACCTTGCTTTCAGGAACGGTTTCCCCACGGCGTTACTGCGGACACATGCTCGAAAAATGGCCGATCGCCTCAATACTCGGGCCGCACTCGGCGGCTTTTTCGTTGGAACGATGCGGACACTTCGCCTATCAACACCCTCTTGGCTTACACTCCGCATGATGTTACACCGCGGATTGTTGACTTTCAATGAGTTCTGGCTTCCAGAAGATCTGCCACCGCAAAAAGAAGCAATGAGTCCGGGATCCTGCAAGCTGTTTGAGGGAGGAAGCTCGATAACTAAACCGACCAGGATCGGCTTTACCACTGCGTTAGCTTGAGCCGATGGGGTCAATTCGATTGAACCCCTTAAGCCGCCGCTGACCTTGGTTAGACTTCGTCGTTCACAAAATCCAAAGCGTCAGGCACTTTGTGCACAGCGAGACAGTGAATTCAAGAAATCTCGCCAACCTGCTACTGCTGAAGAGAGAAATGCGGTTTGATTTCATCATGAGTTGAGCGATAGTCCAGTAACTAACACGTCAGTTAATGACTCAAGATCGCCGAGACAAGTCTTGAGACAAGACCGAGCAATCATGTTTTGCCAGCTCTGACTCGTAGGCGGAGACATCTTGATGTCCACCAACATCCGGTCCCGAGTCGGGGCTCCGGCTCCGAGAGATGCCTGTTTCCGCCCGGGAACAGAGCAAACACTTTGCTGAGGGCGTGGGTCCTCCGAGATAGGTCTCCACCGACTGCGCGGCCAAACGCGAGCCATTGACCTGCGAGTCAGGGGAGCAGAGCGGCTTTCACAACGCTCGACAGATTTTCCTCGTCAATCCCCCGTCAACCCCATCCACCGGTTACCGAGACGTCGGCGAAGGAATCACAACGGCCGCCCGCGATTGGAGTCTATTTTGAGCGCGATTCCACACTGAGTACAACTCCGGCTGCCATTCCCGGTGACAAGCCGGTGCGGAGCCGTGCTGCACAATTTTCCATTGGTCCCAACCGAATCCCGTCGACGGGGGTATATCCTTGGGACGATGGTCGCTTTCACGGGGATCCTCCTTAAAGCGAGAGTTCGCTGTCGCAGTACAAAGTATGTTTGCCGAGGCCGTCGCCCTGCATGCACCTTGCCGAGATTGCAGATGCTGGCACGAGGGGGCATGCGACCTGCCATCCGATCTCGTTCGAGAACCCGAAAGCTCTGGAAGGAGGCAGCTGTTCGTCCCGATGTCCCGCAACTATTGAACGTTCTTTATCCATTTGGTACTTTCCTTTGGGGGCGACAACACACTGCTGCAAAGACAACAATGGGAACCCGAGCTCAAGGATCAGTCGATTGTCTGCCTTGGGCTTTCCCGCATGACGATCCGACGCTTGTCTTAATTGTCCGGTATATGGAAGTCATTATTTTCATCTCGGGTGATGGCACTTACTATCAAACAAATAAGGTTGGCACGGGATCGAAGAGCAGATCCGGCCTGCATCTTAAGTGCTTTGTTTTTATAGCATGACCCTCAGACGGGCCAGCTCTGCCGAATTCCCCAGATCCGGGATGATGTCGACTTCTTTTATTAGAAGCCGGGTGGGATGGGAGTGTGCCCAGTCGTCGCGACAAGGCTGGTTCTCCAATGGACAAATCTTCCGTTGGAGGCCAATTCATCAAACAGGCGACCTGCTTTCCCGAGGCTGGGCAAGAGGCGATACTGCAGGAACATCGGCTCATCCAATCTACGTATGCCCCTTAATGGCGAGAGAGAATTTGAGTCGGTATTGGGGATGCAGCACTTTCAACCACCGACCAATCGGACGTATGGTTTTCCCCGCCTCGCCCTCGGTACTGCAAAGGCTGCGCGAGTTAACGAGCAAGATGGAGTCTGCGGGGCCGACGATACACGGGGAACGGAACGGAGGTTGGAAGTGCCGCCAAGGACCCCCAGCGAGAGTGGAAAGAATCGAAGCAGGAGAAAAGGCCGGAACAGCGGCCAAGACGCTGCGGGGCTCGGCAAAGTTGGGGATGGCAAAGTTGAGGCCATTGAGCTGGGGCATTGCCTTCACATTCACGGAGCGCAATGCCGAGTTCAACACAGATGCGGCGCAACCAGCCATTGCCAGCCCAATGATATCCCTGCCGAGGCGAGAGCTGGGATCTTTCAGGTCAGAGCTGACCAGGCCAACCTATGGGCGGGCCCGTTCCATGTGAACAGGCTAATTGCCGCTTCGATATTGCCGGACAAGCACAAGGGGGCTTCGAGAAGCGCAGGACCCAGAATGCGACCGACCAAAATTCTGGTACCGAAACGCAGCAAAAGATGCCAATGTTCCGTGCCTCGGCGGACACTCTCCTTTTGATACCTCGCTGGGAAGAAGTCTGCGGCGCGAACACGCAAGGTGCTCGGGAAGCTGGAAGCAAGCCTTCAGCATTCGCTGTTCTCGAAGCCGGAGGAAACCCCATGCCATCCATGCCTCCTAGGGTCGGGGGCCTTTCACCCCGGCTTCCATGGGGTCACCCCACGAGCCAATGTCTCGGCCAAAGTCCCGCGGCGCGATGATTGGACAGATGACGAAGTCGTCGTCCACGTTCAAAATGACACGGACCATATCACAAATTACCGTGTGGTGCCCGCCCCTAAAAATAGGACACGCTTTTGGACATATTAAGCTAGCTGCCGTTTGGTCCTCGCGGTGGCGCCAAGGTGGCTTGAGATCATCGTCCCGACAGCCCCGAAAGTCTGCCGCGACAGTGGTAAAGCCAAGGGGAAGCACGGGGCAAGTCTCCTCCAGAAGCGTCCCTGGAGCGATTGATGCGCGGGTGTCGTCTGCCGCCTTGATTACTCGCAAACAGAAAGATGGTAGCGAAGGTGATTGTCGACGGGGGAGCTTCAGGCAAGAGAGACGGAACGAGTTGACTTGTTTGATGACACTCGAGAACCCCACTCCTGTCCCAGACAACGGCAACTTGCATCGCTTTCGGGTTCCGTGCTTTTCTTCTCATTCGCCCGCCAGACACACGCTGGCACCCGCCCCATCGATCAACATGCCAAAACCACGGCACTTGCGGCGGCGATCTCCCATCACGCTCCCGCTTGACAACCTTTTCCCGCTTGGTGATGCTTTGTGGAACTCGGGGCTGACACACCGCTTCATTGACTGGCCGCCTTCGGAAACGGAAGCCAGGTTACGAATTGTCCGTCCAGAAGGACAACCCGAATCCGACGGAGAGGAGCAAGCCAACACCGGCCAACCTGCCCCCATGCGGTTCGATTGTCTCAGCCACCGAAGAGGTACCTTTTGTGTCCTCGCCTCATCGGGACTAGACCCACTCCGGGGTCCGGGGGCTTCGGCAGTCGAGAGAAGAAGTTGGACGCCCAGTGGGTTTCTCGATCGCTGACGGTCCGGTATCGATTCGTAGGAGTTATTTTGTTTGACCGAAGCTCCCCCCTCACAATTGGCAGCGAGTGTTATGAAATACCGATGCAGGGTAGCGACCCAGCGACACGGCTTCAGGAGACAAGCGTCGATCTTATCGAAGTTCCCTGCGCATTATCACGGCGCGACATGACGGAACGTTCGATGTTAATTGCCCAGGAACTATCGAAAACAAAACCATCCCAACAGGAGCAAGATACGACGCTACTGCGTACATGCCATACGACGCCAGCGGCGGAGGGTTACAACAATACAACAAAACCACCCATCTCGGCAATGCGAAGGATCCCCGGCACGTGGAGTTTCGCTACCTTCCCCCCACTCGGGCCTGGCGTCGTCCCAAAACCCCGTCCTTGACGTTACAAGCTGCCGTATTTCCGGATCTGACGAGCAGGCGTCGTGATCTGTACCCCCACTCGAGAGACCCCTTTTTCGGATCTCGTCCCTCATTGACCCGACCAGTAGATACCATGTCGCTGTCGACCAAGCAACTCCTGGCCGCGATATGGTACGTGCTTCGGTAGCCGGGGATGGGGATGTCGGAGACAGCGAGGCAATCCACCCGGCTCTTTTCTTAAGGTGGAGTCGTCGATTGATAGTGGCTCGCTTGATAAACCCTTGGGCTGGGGAACGGAACCCAGATCTGCGCTTGACAACCCCTGCACCATCCTCCAACCCCGGCATCTGTTTCTCGGCTGTTCACGTTGAGAATCCCCATGACTTTTGCCGCATCATCGCATCATCTTAGCTGGAGCCGGATTTTGTTCATCAACCTTGCTATTGTGCGGAGGGGCGTGATGATCAGTTGTTGCCCCTGAATTTCTCGAAGCAAGCAAGCACGGGGATGCTTGTTACCTGCGGTGCTACCCCTCGCGGCAGTTCAACTTTCCCCATCTCCACCATGTTGGAGCCCTTTGGAGGAACTGGTGTAAAAATCAAGGTCACAACAATGAGCAGGGGGAAGGTAAAAAAAACCGACACTGCGGCTCCAACGTCTCGAAACTCCGCAGTGGCCAAGACCGCGACTATCCCCATCACCCGCGCCATTGAGAGGGCCACGTGAGGTTCCATCTCTGATGAAGGAAGGAAAAGAAAAACCTCACACGTGAAAATCGTTCGTCTCATAGTTACGTTACAAGACAGAAAGACGCGTATCGCACAGTGCGATCTGGGGCTCGCATATCGACCTCCCTTCACGGGCCTAGCCCCGAGATTCAATTCTTGCGCGGCCCGCGGCGGAGCGTCGTTCCTCGCCGTTCGAGGGCTGGTGGTTGCATCGTCATCATCGCCGTTGTCCGCCGCCGTCACCACCAACAGGTCACTCCCCAACTCCACACTTCAACCAGCAACGGAACGGGGAGGCTGCCTTCCCGGCTTCTCGCTTCTGTGGCCAGATCTCGGTTCCCCGTCGAGGATTCCACAACCAAGAGGTTGCCCTGCATCCCCGAGGCGCCAACAAAATTAGGTTTTTCTACACTACACGACACCACGCTGCAGGAGCCTGATCAGCACCCCGGCAGATGTAACCTTGTTTCAGGTGGGATGAACAGCACCACCAGCAGCAGCAGCAGCGCTCTCGGGCTTGGCTATGTTTACGCAGTCTGGACGGACGGAGGGTTGCAAGTGCACCCTTCCTGCGGTAACGCAGGAGGCTCAAGGCAAAACAGGACCGGGTTCCGCGCAAGACACAAACAGACAGCGGGGAAAGACGACGTATACAGTAGCTACCGTGGTGGTGGTGGTGGTGGCAAAAGGGGGTTGGAACCAACAGGCCCAACGAAAGCATGCGACCTGCACCATGTTCCGCGAATGGAAAAGGGTGGGATCCATCCATACGACTCTACACAACTGAATCAGGTCCAGATTCACATGTCGATGCACGCCATTCGTGTTTTTTTCCCTTCTTTTTTTTTTCTTGCTTTGCGGGCCGTTCATCTGAGAGACAGAGCCGGAACCGTTCGTCCCATCTCTTCGAAAGAGAGTCAACGGTTGTCTTGCACAGCGGGCCGGTTGATCCCGTCTTGTTCGTTGCAGTCCCAAAACCTGGTACACACTCTCTGGCCGCATCGCTGCGTCGGTGATGGCACCGGCTGCAAGGCAGGAGGTGTCTGTTGTAACCTCAGTCTGACTGCCCCTTCCCTCATATGCAGTGCCCTGTTTGAAAAGCCGAGTGTTCATCCCCCCCTTGACCGAAACCCCAGCCAAAAGGCTGACCCCCGACTGGCACTTACACATCCCAAGTCGACGTGGTGCGACGGACGATCGGGGTTGTCTGTAAATCGTCACTCGTCCGCGGGAAAGCCACAGCCGGCTCGCTCGCCAGGCAGATAAAAGACCAGAGGGTGCGGGGGGAGGAAGCGCAGCTCGCAGTTCGTTTTGTCCCTCAGACCGAGTTCTCAAGAAGTCTCCGATGTCCAAGTGCCAACGGGCTTGGGATTGCCGGTGTGGCGGCCAATGATGGCTACGACGCCGTCAGAGAAATGCTACCGTTTGGGATAAACTCCCGAGACACGGGCATGCACGTTGTGAGTCGATGCGGGAGTTCCCCGAGATGTTGACGTCGATCCAGACACTTCCTTGTCTTGTACCGTGACTTTCCGCCAACCGACGGGGGAATGTGGCCAGTGGCCGAGTCACTCGTTGCTGCCATCAGGCTTTTCTTTCACGTGTCCGAGAATGAGCAGTTGCTAGGGTGTCCGGGCCTAAGCAATTTTCCGGCTTCTCGAGGAGACTAGTGTTTGCATTTTACTCAAGCGGGTTAGCTCCTGAGATTCCCATCACGCAAGATGTCCCGCCGGTGTGTCTTTCGAGAGCTCGGTCTTGCCTCGTTACAGCTAGCGTTGTTCCGGTAGCCTGGGCATCACCCTGTAATTCGATCAGTTGTGGACCTACGACTCAGTTGGAGTTGCTCCTTTTGGCTAAAAAAAGCTGGACTCGAAAGGGGATCAAGAAATCAAGAAAGAAGAAAGAGGTAGAAGAAAACCAAGAAGAAGAGGTAAATAAAACCGAGCAAAATAAATTAAACAAAAGAAACCGAGTCAAATAAAAAGTAGACTTTGGGCTTTCGAATGGCTTTCTTTTCGTTCCCCTAGTCCAGCCTCCAAGCTAGTAGAGAAGATCGTTCGATTTTCAATTTTTTTACGGAGGCTTTTCGGACAATGAAATGACGCCATGCAACTAGCCATTTCCGGAGGAGTGTCGACCGGAAACCATTTTGCGCGCTGTGGATATGAGGAGACAAGTAGATGTTCCTTTCATCTCACAAATGTGTTCGTAAAACGAAGGCTCGCTGACGATAGTTACGCTCATCCACCCCAACGGTCGACCTAGCGCTCGGCGGGCCGACGACCACGGGTGCACGAGGTCCCGGAAGATCTGCGTCACGGGCCCGCGTGCTGGCGCGGCTGAACCCGTGTCTGGCGCGGTTGGTTCTGCCATGTATGCACGGTAATTTACACGAAATGTATTGGACGGTCCAGTTATGCCTGGCTGACGAGCCGGTTCCAAAGAAGAGACCTGCAGGTCCTCGATGAGAGGGGGATATTAAGCCACCTCTGGTCGAATCTCGGATGATTTGTTGTCCTGTGGCCGGTCTCGAGCCAGCAGTGATATCCAGATATGCACCATTTGGTGTGTTGGTATGCAGAGGTCTGGCGGGTTGGGGATTTCCCCACTGTACCGCCTCGGTCTGCCTGCGAGGTATCGGTCTCATCATAGACCGGCCGGCAACGGCAGTGGCAGTGGCAGTGGCAGTGAAAAGATCAGCTGGATCGGGGTCAGATGGGGAGTTCAGTTCACAACAAGCCGAGCACGGGGGGCCAACCAGGGCTCGTTTCTGGACGACCACAATGTTCCCACATGTCTTGAGCTCGGCTGTTGCTCTGCCCGTTGATGGAAGGAGCTCAGCTCCTGCACCTCGTGTCTTGGCGACTGCACACAGATGGGCCGCGGGACCCCGTCATATTTTACTCGGGAGGTGGAATGGCGAGTTGATGAATGGGGGGAAGGGCGAAATCAGCCGGGCGATATGCTGGATGGCGGCAGCAGTGGCCGGTATTGCATAGAAGCGAGCATGTGGCGTTCTTCGGAGGCGAGATGTGACTGGCGACGACGCACCGCGAGGCCTGCCTATCTGGTACGAATAAACGAGGAGCTGTTCGTTTGGATTCGGTAGGGGGCGTTCTCTGCGCCAGCAGCGCAAACCAGCGATCCTTCATGCATCATGACGCGACGGGGTGATGTGAGAGCCCGTGGGCGAATGGTGGAGAAACTGTTTTGTGTCAGAAGAAGAGAGGAACTTTCGTCAGGGCCGCTCCTTCTCGTCTCTCGTCAAACGATAGGGTCTGAGCGTCCTTGGAGGTCCCCACTCCTCCAATAACCCCACCCACAGACGCTTGGGCCATAGCCCCTCGGCATTCGATTCCTTTTCGATGTCGGTGTTTTTCCTGGCAGTCGCGCTGGCTGGCTGGGATGGGAAGGTGCGCGAATCAGTGGGTGGCTAGTGTCCGCTGTTCCACATGAGCGATCCAGGGAGTTGGGATCGAGCCAGCGATGTCCGACCCTGTCATCCCATCTGCCCATATTAGCCTTTTCTCATGTGTCTCCAGCCGTTGCAGGGTTGAGGCCGACGAGTACGACAGGCACGCACTGTGTTTCTGGTTGGCCCGGAGTTCGAGATCACCTCGGACGAGAGCTAGCATACGCACCTCGTTTGTAGATAATAAGCATTATTCGGCTTGGAAATAGAGATAGATAGAAGCCGTACCGGGCCTTATTAGGTAGGGTATGTTGGTAACCACTCTTCGCAGTTGGAGCAAACAGCACGGCCACAAGCACGGCCGCCGGTAAAATTAATCATGGGCCCGCACATGGCCGAGTCTTCCTTCAACCCCGCAAACTGCCCTGAGGGGATAGATGGCCGCTAGGCAGAGGTGGGTAACTGCATCGTAGAATAGCGAGAGAGGAAGGAGCCGATTGGGAAGACCAATCGTCATGATAGCAAAAAAAAAAAAAAAAATGAATGAGGCAGGCACATGGGGGGAGCCCATGTTCGAGTTGCCAAGTTTACCGTGCCGTCGAGCCCCGCCGAGTCCGCCTGAGACTCTCCCCAGCTCCGAACTTTCGAGATGGGCCGAAAATACAACTTTGCGCGGTGCTGGCTCCGGGACGTTGGCGGACATCGGCGTCTCCCAATGGCGGCTTTTCTTGACGAGAGATTACCGTATGATACAAATACACTGTTACAACGCGGCGACCGGGACTAACTATGCCTTGTTGGGTCAAGTCTCTCGCCTCCAAGAGTTCAGGCGAGAAGACAGCGTTGCACTCGAACGGTCGCCCTGCGCCCGCCTCCCACCACCAGGTCAACAGCGCGCGAGTTCCAGAACAAAACGCGGCACGGCTGGCCGACGAGAATTGAGGCTGCTCGGCACACACCATCTGGTGTCAAGCACCGCCTGCACGGGTTTATGCAAAGGACAATTCGAGTCTCTTCGACTTGGCTCTGTCACTGACTCCCGGGCCCTCAACCGTAACGCTCCCTGTACAGTACATACGCAAGATAGCAGCGACAGAGCATCGCAAAGCGGCCCGACTTTCCCCAGCGCGGTCGGCCATCCTGCTCACAAAACCCTGAGCACAGGACACTCTTCCCGATCTGGGCGGCGTCATTCGCCGTTCTTGGCGCCTATGTTCCTGGGGTTCTTCACTTGGGGCCCCTGTCCCTGCTCCTGACTGGCAGTCCCGGTTCATCACACACGCTCCCTTTCCAGCCTCTTATCTTCCCGAACCCTCTTTGCCTCGTGGTAGCCATCCATCGGTCAACCACTCGGAGCGTCTTGCAAGGGGTCCAAATTTCAAGACCACACCCTGCTCGCTCCCTCCAGCATACTCCCTGATGGTCACCCACCCCGTGTGCCGTGTCGCCGCAAGTCGCCGGGATGGTCAACCAGGCCAACTGCGTGTTTGGGTGGAATGGGCATGCGGCATGAAGTCAGAGAATAGTGGGCGACAATGTCATTTTGACGACTTTCACTCGCGGTAACGGTAACCACGGGAGGATTCTCCTTGCCCAGGTTGCAGGATCTCTAGGACCCGCTTGCCTAGCCCGCTTTCACTTCCCGTTTCGCTCACCACTGCATGCAGCGTCTGAAGTCCGCAACGCCATGCCGCACTGCCGAAAGCCAGGGTTCGGAGCCACGCTTGTCTCCCTTGCTGGAAAAGAGTCGCCAAGCTCGCCCACGGGGGTGTGGGTAGGAGGAACCTGCGGCAGCCGTGTGTGTCCCTGGGGACTGATGAGCAGCATCCATCGGGCCGGGTTGGCCTGCATCGTACACTAATCGGGACGCTAGCTTGCCAATACCGTGTGCACGAGCAGCCCAGTCCTCGAACCCCCGTCGAGGGGGCTCTTTCCCCGGGCGGGCCTCTGTCTCCAGCTGTTGACTTTCGACCGGGTCAGCAGCCTGTGTTGGTGGTATCCGGAGTCTGGCCGACAGAAGACCCGGCTGTTCTGTAATGTACTTGCAGCGTTGAACCGGCATACTAAGAGTCCCGATGCCCAATCCCGTCTCCCTCGCAGCACATCCATCCCCAGCATTGTCGCCTCTCAGCCTCCAGAGACCCCCCCCCTCTCCCCTCCCCTCTTCTCTCCGGCTCGTACAACCCAGGCAAACTGCCCCCCGGCGCACAGCAACCCGGTCAGTATCTGTACGTTGCTGGCTGCACCCTGTCAACCCGGACCCCCTGCTTCCCCGAGGCACACTGAGACCACCAACAGATCGCTTGCGCATCTCGCAGCTGTTGCTCAATTATCCGGGGATCGGTACCCTTCTCCTTCTTAGCCTTGGCAGTAGGCTTGTCTACACGGGGTTGCCCTGAGTCGACTGCGCCGCCTGAGTACTGCGCACGTTTACCCGGGCGAATATCTACTGCCACTCACCCTCGAGGCCCTCGCCTTACTGTTGCCAACCACTACACCGTTTCAAGAGACTGTGCGTGCCTGTGTGCCGCCAACCTGAACCAAGAATTGCTTTTCCTTTCCTCACCCGGAGAGCACCACCACACGGACACACAACCTACAAACAAGCCCCAGGTCACACCAACCAACACCGCTCTCAATGGGGTTTACCACAGTTCTCGAACCTCGATTCCGTTCGGCCATCCCAGACACACCACCCGAGGTGCTTACACCGGACTCGGCCTCGTTCCCCTTACGCCAGTCAGAGGAGAAGTCCTGGAACTTGCGTGCTCCTCCATCCCCGCCTATGTCAAACTATGACCCGACCGGCAAGGGAAGCGACATGTCGTCGTCTGGAAAGGGTTCGGAGGATACGCCGACCCGTAGGGACTCTTCCCCCGACCAGAGTGTCCCACGACAACAGCTTCCTTCCTTGAGCAGCCTCTTTGGACCACCCTCGCAAATCGCCCCGCTCCACTCGCCCTTCTCAGAACGTTCGGGACACTATTCTGCCTCGTCACCACTTGATCATCCCCTCAGGCCGACCGTGGGCTCGTCCTCGTATTTCCCCTCGTCAGCACCATCCGCATCGCAACCTAGGAGCTTGTTGGAGTCAAGGTTGCCCGAGCGTCCTCAAATACCGTCGCTATCGCGAGTGTTTCCGGGACCACTCTCGCCCGCACCACGACAAGAGCAACGACAAGACGTCTACAGTTCCGGGAGTCAGTGGCCGGCACAGCACGAAACGAACCGGGAGTACTCTTTCGGCAGCCGCGAGCACCACCAGTTTTACCAACCAGCTGTGGATCGGTACCCCTCTCACATGCCGGGTGGCCGGGACGAGGGGCGAAGGACGGGTTTCCGGGAACCCCAAACGCCAATTCTCAACCCGCCCGCGACCCCGACAAGCAGCGTTGGCTCGGAAGCGCCCCCGGCGAAGGACGGGCTAGGACCCAAGATCTGGACGGGGACGCACTTTTTGCCACGGTTTGTTCGGGCAGCTGAAGTCCCCGGCGAGGGAATGTGCTATTTCTACGATGACGGGAGCCACTGCAAGACGGTCATCGACGGAGAGGCAGTCAACGCGCATTGGGGTGTGACGAAGGCCGGGAAGCCGAGGAAGAGATTGGCGATCGCGTGCGTCACCTGTCGCGAGAAGAAGATCAAGTGCGACCCCGACTATCCGCGATGTGTGCAATGCGAGAAGTTTGGCCGGGTTTGCAAGTTTAAGAATGCGTAAGTGCTGGTTGGGAACAACCCCTGGCCAAAGATCCAATGCTAAAACCCCATGCTATAGTCCCCGAGGCGGTCATAACACATCCCCCTCCACCCCTCCGGCTGAGGTCGAAGATTTGCGCCGGCTAGGCGGAATGATCTCGCGGCCACCGACGGATCATCACCACCACCATCACCATGCCAGGCCGAGTAGCCACTCGAGCGGATCAGTCTCACCACGGACTACGCTCCGGCCGGCGAGCCCCGACATGTCGAGTTCGGGACCACGCAAGCTCGCTCGCGTGGGTTACGAGCACTATAGCCCGACGACTGGACGGCAATCACCACTTGCGCCAACGCCTGACTCAGCGCGGTCCGCTACTACTTTCTCATGGCGGCAGCCGGAGACGTTGCCGCGGCTTCATGACGATGTTTTGCGGCGGGCTTGGCAAACGGAACCGTATGTGACCGAGAGCTACTATTAGGGCTGGACTCCGCTGACACGTTTTCCAGACGACCTGATGCCCGTGTATGACACACCCATTATTGACGACATGGGTTCGGACGTCGGCATAGATGACTGATTGATGGCCTCAATACCGAATCAATTTGTTTGTCGAAGCAGCTACCCGGTCTTCCCTTCCGACCGGACCGGCCAACCACAGATGGCGAAGTTGGAGGGGCACCAGCAACAGTGTTTGATCTGGACTTCCTACCTTGCGAGCCACACCCAAGGGTGCTGGACGGGGCACCCAGTCAAGCGACAACCCTTCGGCATCTACAGGAAGAAAACAAGACGCATCAAACGCCCACCTTACCGGCCAGCCTGATAGCTCGACCCGGGAGGGAGGTATACGAGATACGAGAAGGGGCGACAGAGAGGAGGAGCCACAGTTGCCAGTGGAGCGAGTCTACGAGCGGGGACACCCAATAGAAACGGTGTGCGTCGGCTTACAGCTACGACGACATCGTTAGTGATGCGACGGCCCAAACCGCATGCGCACGACGAAACGGCCGACCATTTGCGAACCGGATCTAGGTCAATATACCCGGAGGAATAATTTGGAGGCACGAGTCATTTTCACGCTATATGACATGGACGAGGGACAGGATGGGCGGCTATTTTTGTTTTCCTTTTTCCTTTCCTTTTATTTTTTTTGTCATCTATATCTGCTGTATTGTTATGGGGTTTCGGCGGTTTAGCATCATTGCATTGTCAGTCTGGCGCTGGTTGGCTTCTGGCTTCTTTTTTTTTTTTTTTTTACTCTTGGGCCTCAAAAGAGGGAGAGGGCGGGAGATGAGGGGGGATTTCACATTTCGCAGATTCTTGTCTATACTTTTATCTTATATCCGTGTTTTGGATGCCTGTATTTATCTCTCTATACCCTGTTTACTTCTCTTTCGCTGTTTCGGCAGCTCGACTACAAATGTACCCCACCATTCATACTCGGCTGGACCTCCTGGCGTGACACCACTGCATCCTGACCGTCCATTCGCAACTCCGACCAGACGAAATGACAAACCAAAAAAAAAGCTGTTGAGGCCGGTGAAGCCAACCGATTACCGTTTTGGGGGACATTCTTCGTTTCATCACTCACCCACTCACTCACCCCAGCCCTACCGCGCAACAATACACCCTCATCCCTCCCACCATGACTACCCGATGACAGTGCCGAGATGGTACCCAATCTCGGGGGACCTGAGGAGGCAGGGAGCCCATTACGCGTTGGATGCAAAGGTCGTTTTCGGATTTATTGGCATGCAGTGCTGCGATTGAGTGACGTGGAAAAAGGGAGGGGGAGCGTATCGGCAGGTCTGCGGCGCGGAACGCAGCATTTGCTTCTTTGGACTTTTTCCAGACGCATCTGATCTTTGTCCTGCCTCGTGCCCTGGTTCTGGTTCGTCCGAGTCTTGTCAGGGTTCCGTCCCTCGCCGGCGCGTGGTTGCGGCGTGGTTTTTTTGGTTTTTGCGGCGTGGGTTTTCGGCTTGGCGTTCAAGGTTACGGTGTTGAGGTTTCTAGCGGCCTTCTGGAAGGATGTCGTTTCCTGGTTCCGATGGATGGGCGTGCAACGGCAAAGTGCGTGTGGGGTGGGTTTAACTAGCGTTCGGTAATACTTTTGGTACGGGATTCCGAACGCACCCACACCGAAACTGCGTCCCGTCCGTTTACTCAACGGCCGCCGTTAGCGCTAGCTCACTCAAGTCGAGTTGTTGTCGATCGAGCTTTGTCACTTTTGGAGACAAACTAACAATAGCAGCGCGATCGAGTGAGAGCCAAAAAAAAAAAAAAAAGAAACAAAAATAACTAATCTTCTTATCACCAAAAAACGACGAATCCTAGTGGTGGGAATTGTGCACAATTCGCAAAGTCAGCCGCCACTCTTCAAGCTACCTCTCTCAGTCACACGCATTGCATCAACCCGAGGGCGAGACGCATTTCGGATTATCTCAGAAACTGATATTCGATTTTCTGAGGCTCAAAGGGCCGTGTGCTCGCGCGAAGGAGCGCAGGCATAGACCCAAGCGCGTCGAGCGCCGTCGCGACTGGCTGGGAAACCGTTGTGGTGGTCGGTCCTTCGGCAGCTTACACGGCGCCACTCGGGTCACATTCTGAGTTGGGAGGATACCAGGATGGACGGTTATCTGCGGGACTCTTAGTCTAGTTCACGACACCGCCCGCAGGAGGGATCGGTGTGAGACGATTTTCGAGATAGCCGCCGCAGTCGACCAAGATGGCCCAGCGTGCGCCAAAGTTCCCCACCCGGCCGGTGGCCCAGTTGCTTGGGTCGAATGGTACGTTTCTTTGCTTGTTCCAAGCGTTGTTTGGTGCCTTCTGTTTCCTATTTCTTGCATGAGACTCCGCGATCTTGTGCTCGCGGGAGGGGGGTTGGGGGTGCTGCGCTCACTGGCTGATGAGGTCCCTCGGCGTCTCTAGCCAGCATTAGCTTCCCCCATCCAAGCCCCCCAAGCTGACATGCCGGGCCGGCCGCCCAAAGCCCAACGGCTATCTCAAGCCCCAGACCGGCCGCCCCCAACAACCCAGCCCTACGCCCTACCGCCACCCCAGACGCGCAGACCACCAGCAGCAAGCTAACACCCCCCTCCCAGGCCCCGTCCACGCCCTCGCCTACTCCGCCTCCCCAGGGACCTACATCCTCACAGGCTCCTCCGACCGCTCCATCCGACTGTACAACCCCTCCAACACCACCCCTCCCCCAGCAGCCACCAACCACCACCCAGCAACAGCATCACCACCACCCCCAAACCCCCAACCCCAACCCTTCCCTCAACCCCAACCCCCCTGCACCCCCCCTCCCCCATCAGCAAACAAATCCAGGCCTACACCTCGAACGCCTACGCCGTGCTCTCGCTGGCCATCTCCCCCTCCAACGCGCACTTCTGCTCCCGGCGGCGGCGACCGCGCCGTGCTGCTGTGGGACGTGGCCACGGCCCAGACGGTGCGGCGCTTCGGGTCGGCGTCGACGGCGCACTCGCATGCCGGGCGCGTGAATGCCGTTTGTTTTGCGGGTGGTGGGGCGACATCTGCGTCGGGGTCGGGGTCGGGGTCGGGGTCGGGGTCGGGGGGTGGTGGTGGGTTGGGGTTGGGTGGGGGGGATAGTTTGGTTATTTCGGGGGGTTTGGATTGTACCGTGCGGGTGTGGGATGTGCGGGCGGGCGGGGCGCGGCCGGTGCAGGTGCTGAGCGAGGCCAAGGATAGCGTGACGGCGCTGGCGGTGGATGGGGAGGTGATCCTTGCGGGGGGCGTGGACGGGCGGGTGAGGGGCTATGATGTGCGCTTGGGGAAGTGTGTGACGGGATGTGTTCCCCGGGAGCGTTACGAGTCTGTGTCTGGCGAGGGATGGGCGGACGTTGCTCGTCGGGACGCTGGATAGCAAGATCCGGTTGATGGATCGGCGGGATGGGGCGTGTTTGAGGACGTACGCTGCTGAGGGGTGGCGGAATGAGGAGTTGAGGGTGCAGAGTGTTCTGGGTGGAGGGGAGAGGTTCGTGGTGGCGGGGGATGAGATGACGGGTACGAAGGAGGGGACGGGCGATGAGGGGAGGATATGGGCGTGGGATATGTTGACGGGCAAGCTGGTGACTACGGTACCCGTCCCCTGGGGAAGCGGGAGTGAGAACCGCAAGAAGGCGATCGGGAGAGACGGGAAGGAAAAGGAGCGGAAGAACGTGGTGAGCTGCATTGCGTGGAAGGAAGACGGTTTCGGGAACCAGTTCTGCGTGGGCGGCACATCCGGGGTGGTAACGGTGTTCGGTCAATGAAGGCGCCTCGTTCGTTTCAGGGATTCGGCCCTGAATGTCGTAAAAATATAGAATAGATATCCTGACTCGAGATCCCCCGAGCTGCCGAATCCAACCATCTAGAACCCACCGGCCACTCCCAGGAGCGTTATTCTAGCGCACCAAAAATAAGCATACCGCCTGCGCCGAACACCTCAGCCCCCCATGTGTGTAGTCCAAAACCCTGCCGCGTCACCAAACGATATACATATGAAGCTAACGCCTCGTGTTGACCATAACTTGATTTAGCCCATGCCGACAAACTGGAACCAGTTGGGCCGGCAGTCCTCCCTATGAAGCCAGGCCTCGCCGTCGGTGAAGCGGCCAGTCACGCAGCCCTTGCACTTAGGCGAGTTGGGACAGTTGAAGAAGGGGATGTGCTGGTAGCCGATGTCGCGGAACCTGAGCCCGTTAGTTAGTACCGCTGCCAATATCTTAGATTTAGGGAAACGTACCAGTGAATACGGTTCTTGTCCTCCAACAGGCCGAGAGCGATACTATGAACAGGGGCGTCGCCCCAGCGTTCATAAAAGAAGCCGCCGGCCCGGTCGAGGTGGTTAAAGTAGTCCTCGTACGGCTTGCTTCGCCAGAAGTTCATGTCGGCAATCTCAAAGTTGCTCCAGAAGTGGCAGGTCGAGTAACCGTTCGCCTTCCTGTTGTGTTCCGGTCGGCGCTTTGAGTCCGTCAGCCAGTTCATGGCGTTGTTCTCGTGAACATGTTCCGGGTGCTCGGCGATGAACTTTTCCGTCTCAGGCCACAACGTGGGGATCGATTCCGGCGAGTCGTACAGGTTGATGGTGAAGCCATACGTCTTGTTGTTGTCCTGCATGTAACGGAAGACGTCGTAGTCGACGTCGCAGAAAAAGTGTACGTTGGGCTCAACGCGCCAGTAGTACTGCGTGTTGGCCAGGGCCGGGTGCTTGTAGAAGAGGCCGCTGTTCCAGCGGCACATCTGGTGGTACGACACCTTATCGGCATATTGCACCTCTTGTTCCTTGAGAATCTTGGTCGACTCGAGGAACAAGTCGTTATTGATCCACGACGGCACATCCCAGTGCTCCTTAGGTATGAGTTCTGCATTGGTCAGCTCCATCGCTCAACCAGCACGCATGCCCCGCAATAACGTACCGTATCGGCACTCTGCCTTCGTTTCCGCTTGTGTCTTCTTCTTGAACTCCTCTGAGAAACGGTACGTCGTTGAAAAATGTCCACGGGTAGTTGAATTTGTTGTTCCATGTCCTCTCGAGATCGCGCATCGCCTGTATCATCCCGTCCAGCTCCTCATTCCTCACAAGCGCCAGGAGGGTGGCATCGATTCGTGCGGTGCCGGCCGGGCCTGGGGCGTACTCCCCGGATGCATATGTCAAGACGCCCTCGGGCTCCCCGGTAGCTGTCGATGTTAGCGGACCATGTTTCGGTTAACCATGTTTTATCGTGGTGTGGGCTTACGGTCTAGGTTGGGGTCTCGCTCTTTTGGCAAAAAGCTGTTGGCGCCGGGGCCCGCGGGCGCTGCTATCGGCCTGAAAAGCTGCCATACGAAGAAGCACCACAACACCACGGCGGTTAACCCCAGCGCCCTCACGGGGCGAGCAATCGCCATGATGAGTGGTTTGGTCGATCGTGGTTTAGCTTGGTATCCTTGTCCAATCACGTCTCTGTTCGCGCGGATGGCCGGCGTCCAACATCCGCTATTCGAGTCTCGTCATTTACAGATGCGGCGTCTGCGTTTGAGATGTGTCGCCGTGATTGTCGGCTTTAGAGGTGCGCGTCGTTCTTCCTGCCAGCGGCGGCGCGTTGGTCTAGGTTAATTAAACTGGGGCAAGAGTATTGGAGGCACCACCTTACCAATATGCAAGACAAAATTTCGATGGAATAGGGGCCCGTCAGAAGCCTTGATGTCATCTGATATGCCAAGGGTTGCGATTGGAAGTTAAGCTGGCCCGTGCGTACCATTTTAGCAGGTCGCTTTTGACATCTCAAACCAGCGCTCTAAGGTATTTCTTGGCAAGAACATTGATGGTTCTCTCCACCAATACAGTACCATGCAAAGGGTACTGAAGGGGATTATTTAGGTATTATTTGCTACTTTCTTTCTTTGACGAAACCTAAGGATCCGTACTTTTGTCCTTTTTGGGACACGTAGTTCCTCCTGTTATGTCTTGACGCGTCCACGAAGCGCGTGTTACACCCGCATACAGTGTTTGGGCTAATTGCAGGTCACCACTGTGGAGCGTCATCCACTATACCAACCCGAAAGCTCTCAACTACCCTGGCCCTTACCTAGGTAGGTACCTACCCACCTACCTTATTTGAGGAGGTAGGGTGATCACGGGCCTAACGACCTGTCAGAATGCTGCGACTGGTAGCCTTGACAACATGGCACACCTTGCGCAGCTGGCGGCGTTGACAGACGAACTTGTTGCGGCCATCCTTGCCATCTCTGAGGTGTGAATCCAGTTCCATCACTCCCTCTCTCATTTTTGGGCCCCGCTAAACGATCTAGACTCAACATGAAAAGCGAATTTCTTACCGCGATTCTGTCTTGCGCAGTCTACGCAGTCATACTTTCACTCGCACGAACCAATTCGAGGTTGAGGACCGCCTAAACGGGCTCGAGGAGCGGTTCTCCGTCGTCGGCCGAGATGGTTTGTCAGAGGCTTTGCGCACACGACGGAGCGCATATGAAGCCCATCAAAATCAGTTCACGCCCGAAGTTCTGCATTTCCTCTTAGAACTCGCTGATCAACCAGCGCAAAAGTCCAAGCTCAGCGACTTGGACGCCCTCATCGAGCCCGAGGAGGACGCCCCACCACCAATAACCTGGCGTGACTTTGCTAGGGAAGATGGCTGGAAAGAGGAAAGGGACATTTGGAGATCCATCGACTATTCTCCCGGCTCTAGCGACGAAGAGGAAGTGGATCGACAGTCCGAGGCATCTGTCGAGTCTCTCACCACTTCCTCCTCCATAGACGACCAGCACCGCCGCACAGCACAAGACTTGGCCACCAAGTCTCAAGGAATCGAGCCGTTGAAGCAAGCCCAAGAGGACCAGGCTTGGAGAGATGCCTCTGCGCTGGATGGCGATGGAAGATCTAGGAAGATTCCCATCTCAACGATCCAGTTGCTCCGCGAGGCCCTCTTCATGCTGGCTGGCCTTGAGACCAGCTTATTCGATTTCGAATGCAACCCAATCACGAGATACCAGCTTCGGGGGGTCTCATGGGATTCTTACAAGGCGCTCGTTACATCCTTTTCTGAATGTGGTCGGAAACTCGCACCCTTGCGGGTCTATGTGGAAAATAGGGAGCAGTCACCCCTCTTGCAGGTCTTCCGGGCCTGCCTACAAAAAGCACTGCATCATCTTGACTTAGAGCTGTCCTTGATCCAGACCAGCCTTGTCGCCATCAAAGAAGACGTTGTCGTTAGCCTGATTGGGGTGCTCGGTGAGCTGGGCCCGAAACTAGCGCCACTTTATGGACTGGCAGATATTGTACGCCAGGTCCAACAAGAGCGGAACCCCCATGCCTTTCGATACCTCGAACTTTTATACGACGCGGCGGGGATAGCCCAGTTGCAAGGCAGCACTGCCACCTACCGATTACTCGGGACCATTTTCTTCGACTGTTTTCAGGTCTACCTGAAACCCATCCGGCTGTGGATGGAGGAGGGAAAGCTTCTGCCTGGCGACCGGACCTTCTTCATATCGGAGTCGCCAGCAAAGCTGCCACTGTCCCAAATATGGAAAGGCCAGTTCAACTTGCTGCGCTCTCCCGAGGGCAAACTTCACGCTCCCCGGTTCCTTGACCCCTCAATCCACCAGATCTTTGAAGCAGGCAAGAGTATTGTCGTGTTGAAGCACATGAAGCAACATGAGTCAACCAAGAAATACCGAGCCACGGCTGAACCGAGTATGGATTTTGCAACAGTTTGTCCTGATGGGTTTGAATTCGCGCCCTTCAGCGAGCTATTCGGCGCTGCGTTTCAGGCATGGATCCAGAGCAAACACCACTCTGCAGCCGCAACACTCCGTGAACTTCTCTTCAGCTCGTACGGCCTATTCGAAAGTTTAGACGCCCTACAACACATATACTTGATGTCAGACGGGTCAATGTCAAACTCTTTTGCCTCGTCCGTCTTCCGACGTCTCGACGCGCTGAACAACAGCTGGCAGGACCGTTTTACTCTAACCGAGGTCGCCCAGGAGGCCTTCTCGACTTGTCTAGACAGCTACCGACTCTCCGCCAACATCGACCCACGTGGCCTCGGGCGCAGCGCACTCGTCGCTCGAAGCTCCGTCCGCCACAGCCTCCCTTTCATCCGTCTGAACTACCGTCTCAGCTGGCCGGTACAGATCGTCGTCCCAGAAGAGGACATTCAGGGCTACCAAACCCTCTTCACCTTCCAACTCCAAACCCAACGAGCGCTCTCCCTCCTCCAATACCCCATCCTCCCCTCTCAGCGCGGCGGCGCCGACATGGCGCGCTACTACCTCCTACGAAGCAAACTCCTCTGGTTCAGCAACACCATCAAAACTTACCTAACCACCCTCGTCCTGGCACCCAACACCGCCCGGCTGCGCGCCGACCTCGGCGACGCCACCGCGGACGTCGACGACATGGTGGCTGCGCACGCCGCCTTCATCGCGCGTCTCATCAGCGAGTCGTGCCAGGGCCCCAAATTGCAGCCTATCCGCGACGCCGTGCTCGACGTCTTCGACCTGGCCATCCGGCTGGAGGACGCGCACCGCGCAGACTCAACGCGCCGTGAGGAGGAGGCTATGGAGGTCTCGAGGCTGTCGGTCATGAGCTCGCCTTATAAGGCGTCCCCTGCCAAGGTGGGGAGGCCGGCGAAGCGGAGGAGGGTGGATGAGGATGATGATGAGGATGAGGACGGGGAGGGGGGGAAGGCTGGTGGGGAGATGGCGCGGAGGGGGGGGTGGGGTGATGACGCGGGGAAACCGTATGCGACGGTGTTGAGGGAGTTACGTGGGGATTTTGAGCGGCACTTGAGGTTTGTTGCCGGGGGCCTGAGGGGGGTGGCTAGGGCGAGTAGGGATGAGGCGGCTGCGAAGTGGGACCTGCTAGCTGAGATGCTCGAGGTTGGGATAAAGGAGTAGAATGTTAGTAATAGCCATGTTCACACACTCACTAGGACCGGGGATAAAATCTTATGAGTGCAAAGGTTCATCTTTTCGAGACTCAGGGGTCCACGTCGAAACTTAACCCTAACCCTGTTATAGGCACCCTAATGGCCCGGCGGCTTGGCGAACCCGAATCTTGTGGCGATAAGTAACTGGTCGCTCGGCCATCACTTCCTTTACACAACACACCGAACCATCACCGATCGCAACTCGAGCCCATCGACTGCGTCTATAAAACCTCACCCTAATTTTAATACCTGTATATTGGGACCGTATCAGGACCAACCAGCCGATCCTTAACTCAAACCACCCACCGCCACCATGTCCGAACGCAAAGTTCTAACGTGCGTTCCTCCCTCCTCCCCGCCATGCGACTTCCCCCCCCCTCCCCTACCCTCCCAAACAACCCAAACCAAAACCAAAACCAAACTCCCCTCACTAACACCTGTCCCTCCCCCCCAGCAAATACTACCCCCCCGACTTCGACCCGTCCCTCGTCGGGCGCGCGCGCAAACCCAAAGGCAGCGCCGCACAACAAGGCCCCAAAGTGCAAACCGTGCGCCTCATGGCGCCCTTCTCGCTGCGCTGCGTCGCCTGCGGCGAGTACATGTACCGGGGGCGCAAGTTCAACGCGCGCAAAGAAACCCCGCCCGGCGAGCGCTACCTCGGCATCCAGCTGTACCGCTTCTACATCCGCTGCACGCGCTGCTCGGGCGAGATCGTGTTCCGGACGGATCCCAAAAAATCAGGATTATGTGGTGGAGAAGGGGGCGAAGAGGAATACGGACCCGTGGAAGAGGGGGTTGAGTGAGGGGGAGGGTGCTGGGGAGGAGACGGATGAGCAGAGGCTGGATCGGTTGGAGAGGGAGATGGCTGAGGCGGAGGGGGAGGAGGAGAGGAATGCGATGGCCGAGTTGGAGGCTAAGACGGAGGATGCGAAGAGGGAGATGGCGGTGGCGGATGCGTTGGATGAGATTAGGAGTCGGAATGCGAGGTTGGAGAAGGCGAATCGGGAGGGCGGGGGGGATGTGTTGGATGCGGTGGTGGCTGGGGTGGTGAGGCCGGAGGAGGAGGAGAGGAGGAGGCAGGAGGAGGAGGATGCCGAGGCGGCGAGGAGGGCGTTTGCGTTTGTGAGGAGGCAGGATATGCTGGAGGAGGTGATGGAGGAGGATGGGGAGGGGGAGGATGTGGTGAACGGGGGTGGTGTGGTGAATGGGAACGGGGTTGGGTCGGGGTCTGGCTCGAGTTCGGCGACCGTGTCAACGTCCGATTCAAGACCACACTCGGCCGCGGCGACCCCTGAGATGCCGCCGCCGCCGCCTCCGAGCTTCAAGCGGCAGGTCAAGAAGAAGAAGGACCACGCTGCGTTACTGGGCATCAAGAAGAAAAAGCCGCTAGTCTGAGTAGATCCGGATCGACAGAGCAGCGTTACGAGGAGCGTTTTGGAGAATACTCGCATGTGGGCCGCCGAGTTACGGTTACTTTTTGCGGGGGAGGGGAATTGTTGCTTGGCCAGGTTAAGCAATGGGAAAATCACGGTTAGTAGATATAAATCCACCCAGACATATATCAACATCACGGCACTAGCAAGATCGTCGGAGTCGCGCCGCGTATATTCAGGTGCGACCAAACAAACGGATGTTTGTTGCCTATCATCCCTCATCCTTGAACGCCATGCTCAAAAGCCAAACCCAGACCAAATACCGCCCGCAAGAATGCCAATCGGTTAACCCGACCAAAAAATACGCCGGCTCGTGATGTGTGCACATGATGCATCGTGTTTCTCGTCACCCCGTCCATCCTTCGTGTGCTTTTGGACGTCTCTGCATCTGTTGAAACGTACTGATCCTCGCAGTTTCTTGTGGTTCGTTTTTTTTTTATTTGTTCTTGCGCCGAGTCAAACTGGGCTCGGCGCATATCATTGCCGAATACGGTTGCTGTCAAGTCGACTAGCTGTATTGACTGGTATTCCGACTCCTCCCCGAGGGGCCGTCGGGGAGGCCCGTCGGCGCAGACTGGCTGCCGTGCTGGCTACCCCTTGGGGTCGATGTTTGTGAGATGGACTCCATCTGCCGCTTGGTGTGCTGGTGCATGGTGCGGGCGTAGCTGCCCAGGTCGGCAGGGGGTGGTGGCATCGGCATGGAAACCGCATACGCGTTTTGGGTGGTCGGCATGATGGAAGGGGTTTTGTGTGTGTCGTGAGTTCTAAGGAGAGGAGGTTTAAAAACTGTATGGAAAGGGGTAAGAAAGATATCTCCAATAAACCGGTTTGGTAGTTTGGGGTGCGACGAACCAACCAAGGGGCTGTCGACAAGGGTGATAGAAGCGCGTGACCGGATTTTGGTTGGAGGCGTTGTAGAAACGGTAACTAACAGATGACAGAAGGGGGCGGGAGGCAGTCTTTATAACGGAGAAGGCGGCCAACATCAGAGTCATTCTATCTGTGCTCCTAAGGCGAGTGTGGTGGGCCGGCGTTCGCGGGTAATCACCCCACAGAGGGGCGGGAGCCAAAAGCCGTAGGGTGGCCCCCGTCGTGTTTCGTGGGAGCAAGAAGGCTCGAATGGTCGAAAGGGAAGGGTCCTGCCCTGCTGCAGTCACTTTGAAGATCTGCGCCCTTTCGACACCAATCTCACAGAGGCACGACATGCAGACCCCGTCGACAAAGCCCACGGGGCGTGCGCTAGCGTTACAACGTTCCCGGCTGCAATCTTTCCCATTACATAGCAGATCGGCCATGGGTATGCCGTCTGAGCAGGGGCTGTCCATGTCCGAGGGGTTGGCAGCGACGGTATGGCCTGAGATGGCGTAGGTATCCACCAGGTACTTTCGTCTCGTCATCCAAAACGGCCGGAAGACTCTCACCCGGGCTGACAGTCTTGCCTGGTGGCACAGCGTGGAGGTTGGTGACGGAGGAGGGCAACGTCAGTGGGTCCGGCCCGGAAAGACGAGAGAGGCAAGACCCTGCTGATCCTGTCCAGAGGGCGAGTGAGATCAGGGCTCAGGTCCCTCCAGCTCTCTCCACCCGTTTGCCCCCGTTTCTCTTTAGCCATTACGCCAGAACAAGGAAAGGAAACGGAGGCGAGGAGTGACGATATGCTCAGGAGCCACCGACAACGAA